TGGGAGTTGTAGTCCCAAAACACCTGGAGGGCTGAGTTTGCCTATGCCTGTTCTTGTTTCCCCCCTACTAATTACCTTGCTTGACAATGTTACACATTTGGATACATTTTGAGAATTTATGTTGCAAATAGTCATTTATGGTACAGCATCAGACTCTAAACTTTCAGGGAAAATGGATCTCACCTGTTGGTGCTGCTTTGCATTGAAGACATATTAATGTTGCACCTTAATTTGTTGTTTGGGGACTTAAATAAAAGAAGAAGGAATGAGGGCATTGAGGACATAACATAGTAATACATTTTCAGTCATTCTTCTGCTAAAAAGGTCACGTAGCACAGAAAAGCTTTTAAGCAACATTCTAGTTACAGAATCCATTGAGCTGATTTTGGAGCCGTTCATATTCATGAAAACTTTTTATTCTGCCAAATCTTATTTAGTGTTCTAGCATACCACTCTCTGGGCCATCTGATTTCAACAAGTTTTGCAGAGTAGTAAATGTAATGAGTTCATCTTTTTTAAGAGCTTTCTTGTGGGAATTCCTGCCAGACATTATTAGACCAATCCCAGGCTGGATTGTCTGACAAACGTGGAGGAAAAGTGGCATAATTATACATAAATTCTGATATCCATCATTACTAACTGGGAATTGTTGTTAAGGAGGTGTGCCTGGGGGAAAGTATAACCAGAAGTCACTCCTTCTAATAGTGAACACAGCTGGTGAGGGCCAACAGGGTTACAAAATGGACACACTTGAGAAATTAAGAGTGAGCACTGTCAGCATAGGGACGCGGGTGGCGCTGTGGGTTAAACCACAGAGCCTAGGACTTGCCAATCAGAAGGCTGGCGGTTCGAATCCCCACGACAGGGTGAGCTCCCGTTGCTTAGTCCCTGCTCCTGCCAACCTAGCAGTTCGAAAGCACGTCAAAGTGCAAGTAGATAAATAAGTACCGCTCCGGCGGGAAGGTAAATGGCGTTTCCGTGTGCTGTTCTGGTTCGCCAGAAGCGGCTTAGTCATGCTGGCCACATGACCCGGAAGCTGTACGCCAGCTCCCTCGGCCAATAAAGCGAGATGAGTGCCGCAACCCCAGAGTCGGCCACGACTGGACCTAATGGTCAGGGGTCCCTTTACCTTTACCTTTACTGTCAGCATACTTGGTGGAACAAGGTTTGCAGAAATACAGGGGAAAAACTCAGGAATGAACACTAAGGGTGCAAGAAAACCCAGAAAGTGTTGAATGAGAATGGTGCATGTTCAGTTGGCGTTGACCATAGAACATTTAGTGTCTGTTGCAAAGTGGTGGGAAACTGGGGGACAAGGTGAATCTAATATCTCAAATAGAGGACATGGCTGGCTGCAATGTCGAATAGGAGATCTTTGCCCTGGAATGTTTTGTTGCAGAGATTATATTCTTAGCCATGTAAAGGTAAAGGACCCTGGACAGTTAAGTCCAGTCAAAGGCAACTATGGGGTCCGGCGCTCATCTCACTTCAGTCCAAGGGAGCCGGCATTTGTCCACAGACAGCTTTCCAGGTCATGTAGCCAGCATGACTAAACTGCTTCTGGTCCAACGGGACACTGTGACAAGTGCCAGAGCGCACGGAAACGCCCTTTACCTTCCTGCCACAGTGGAACCTATTTATCTACTCACACTGGTATGCTTTCGAACTGCAGGGTTGGCAGGAGCTGGGAAAGAGCAATAGGAAGCTCACCTCATTGCATGGACTCGAACCGCCAACTTTCTGATTGGCAAATCCAAGAGGCTCAGTGGTTTAGACCACATCACCACCCGCTCAGTCAAGTATTGGTCTTCAAAGGGAACCCAGTCATGTTACTGGCTTTTATATGTAGATAAAAACCTTCGGATTTCTCAGTGGTTGCAAATCATACAGTCGGCTCCAGTGCATGGATACTCTGAAGACGGTCTCAATGAATGTCAGTAAAATGTATGTAGGATTGATTGCAATTTCAAACAAGCAATCAAAAGTTTTAATTCATTTCAGTATACATATTTATGGCAGAAACCATGGATCAAATCAATGTTCGGCATAATTGCCTTTAAAAGGGATTTTAGCATACTTCCCCCCAATCACTTTGCCAACAGTATAGCAAGTGTAGATGCTTCCCAAATGCTAGCGCTTTATCTCATTTTGTAAGGGTTCGCTTCAACTAAACCATCAAAGCATTGTGTCTCATCTTTTATTCATATTATTCCCCTTCCACATACCCTTTGAATGATTCCGTACCCTTGAGAAAGTGGTTTAGAAGGCAATTAATAAATCAGCTGTAATATTATCATTATTACTAATTTGTGTTCAGTATACCTCCCCCATTACTGTTTTGCTTCCATACAGCTCTATTTGCAGTATGGCCGAGTGAAGGAATTAGTCCATTTCTTTGTAAATAAGCAAGGTCAATGTGGCAAAGGCCTATTGTAGCTTAGAGAATTCCCAGAAGTGCTAGGAAAAAATTGTGCTCAAGCCAATGTTGCCAGCTCAGTTGGAATGTCCATGCCTGATGCATATGAGTTTCAGGTTTTGCTCAGAATGCTCAGAGGAGACTCCAATTGCAACTTCTTCCCGTACTTCCCTCTCAAGCCACGCCATAGATCACCTACAAGTGTCTTGGTGAAGTTACCAGTGATTTTCCTTTGTCACCTTGACACCTGACGTACTGTAACTGCTATCATTCACACCAGACCTAAGTTAAAGCGGTGTGGGATTGCATCATCTTTAGACTCTCACCAAAGTCACCCAGTCTATCCCATTCCACTTCCTCCATGCCAGAAGCAGCATCCTACAAACTGTCCCAGACACAGCGTTGAAGTCCCATAATACACTGGAGACAACAATGGCCTTGGGTGGTGTGGAAACCCTGGCCTCTCCAGCCATCTAGAACATTCTCCAGCCAAATTTCTGCTTTGAGACTGGCAAGTCACATTGACTACTTGTACTACCCCTCTCAAAAACAGCTGATACCAAAATTAATTGGAATTTTTATCTAGTATGACAGTGCAGGCAGTTACATTTTCTAACTGAACAGTCACCAAGACTCTGGTGCAGATGAGAATTCTCATGCCTCTGCTAAGGTTCAGTTTTACCTTACCATTATTTAGTCTGGGGGATGTTTTCATGTATCCAGTATAAATCATTGGTGCTTTAACATTAATTTGAAGAAGCTGTGGTGGTAACGGAATATAGTAGTGGGATGAGTTGGATAGTTTTAGGTCAGAAAGCATGACTAATATCTGAGTAATCCCTTTGAAGAGGTGATTCAGCCAGCTCTTTCAATATTTCATCTCACCATGGTAAAAACATGTTTTTTTGAGGTCCACAGTGTATTATATCACTGAACAGCAAATAGAACAACAGCACTTGGTTGCATAATACATTTGATCCGCCACTACATTAATCTCGAATCATTGTGATAACATGTCAAGGTTCTTGCCCAGTACTGCTAAATAAAAGCTGTGCTTTTCACACTGCAGACAGAAATGAATTCATTATTTAAATTTAGCTTCTTGTGTCATAGTCACTCATCTAACACAGGCGAGCATGATGCAACTATCTGAAACGGTTTACGAAAAAGGCATCTCTTACACTTTGCTTTGGTTCAAAGACTTTGACTGATCTTCATTGAAAGTATCAGCTCAAGCTTCTGTATTCTTTTCTTGCAGCATGCAAAGCTGTCACACATCTGTTTTGGCAACAGCCCACTGGTTTGATGCAGAGCTGCAGGGACAGGGCTGTTGTATGGCCAGTTATGTTAGATGAGACATGGTTGCCCCTTCCTAGTCAAACCCAGACATCATCATGGAACCATGGACTGAAGGCTCAGTTCTATGCCCTCTTCCTTTGCTGCTGGGCTCGTACATTGCTCCTGGAACCTGTGCTTTTCACCTGGCTTCTTTTTGGGCTCCTCTGCACCAGCCCCAACCATTTTCAGGCTGAATTTTCTCTTAAGTTGTTCCAAGTGGGTGGGATGGGCAACAATATCACTCAAGTTGTTTGGATCCGAAGAACTACTTTGTGCATAGACTTACAGTTGCTGACACAGGGTCATATTTGAACATTGCCTTTTCACTTTGAAACACAGGGTATGCATGCACACACACATACACACACACACACACGAGAGAGAGAGAGAGAGAGAGAGAGAGAGAGCGCTTTTGAAAGCTGTCAGTTTCAAAAACTAAGATGTCATCTGAACTGGAGGTTTACCATTCAAGAAACAAGCCTAAAGCCCCAATGGACACGTGCAAGTAATTGTTAGAACTCTGGGTCTCGGCCCATGACTTTTAGACTCGAGTTTACAGCAATTTTATTGCTCTGATTTGCTCCAGGTAACATAGCTCTTCAGGAGGAATCTGTTACTTAGGTGGACAGAGGTTCATCTTGCTTCTTCACTATACAGTCCTCCGCAAATGCTAAAGACACACCTCTTTGCCTTTGACACCTGAGATGTGTTTTTTCAGGCCCCATCCTATCCCTGTGACTTACCTGTTTTCATTGCCTTTAATTCTCAAATTTAAATTGTTGTAACTTGCACCCGGGGACATGCTGTTGAAGGTCCAGTAATGAATTTTTCAACCACTGTCACAGTCATCCCAAGCATGGGCAAGTTCATTATATCAAACTTTGTTATAGATTCACCAGCTGGAGTCAGATACAAATAGTGACACAAGAGTTGGAGCTGAGTGTCTACAGCACACAATCAGCCATACACCAGCTTCACCTGCATATACACATACAATTCTACAGTGGGGTTCCTAAATACCATGGTTACCACAGGAGTTTGTCAGAATCCAATTCAGAACAGGCTGCTTTTTGTTGTTGTTGTTGCTACTGCTGAACAGCTGGGAGCGAAAATCCCTTGCTGATCTATTGCAAGTCATCCAAGGAGCCGCCACCAGCAGATTCCTTCTACCTACTCTTGTTGTTTCGATGAATCCTGCTTCTTATGACTTGGTATATGGCATGTACAGATACACGGGAACGAAAACTGAAGACACCTATTTAAAAATCTCCCTTTATTGTAAATGGAAAATATACAAAGGCACTGAATAGGCAATCACCGAAAACACACTTTTTGGTGTGCAGATTCAATATGATAACAACAAAAGCCTGCTTTTTGGGGGGCAGAACTCATTCATAGGATTCCTTTTTCCAAGCAAACAAGACAAAAACGATAGTTATTGAAGTCCCATACAGTACCAGTTTAAATCAGTCAGCATACACAGACAGCATTTCCAACATTACACTTTAGCAATATAAAACTGGTTTTCAAACATCATGCTATGGAGTGGGGGAGGAGGTAAAATATTTAGAGAAAGACCTAACACTGTCATGTTGTCCACTGCTGACTGAAAGAAGAAAAGTACACCATTCTTAAAAAGTAGCCTGCTTTACTATGGGATGCCTCACGATAAACAGTCCTCAGTCTAAGGTCATTAACCTCCAAGGGAGAGTCTACATGTCATATATTATATTCATTAGTTCCTAGTTCCATTAGTGTCTGAAGGGAACAGACATTTCCCCTAATCTATATCCCAGTGCAGGTCACCCATATTACTATGAAGCCACTGCTCTGGGTGTAGTGTGATGCCCCATCTACAGAAGGGAAATAAGTGAGTCTTCCTCAGAAGTAAAGGGGTAGTTAAGCTCTTGGGTAAGTTATCAGAGTCCTTGAAACTCTAGCCAAGTGCTATTTGGACCAATTTTCAGTTTGTTTGTGGGGTTTTTTGGAAAAATCTTCAGGAACAATATGCGTTCCCACATCAGTAAAATCTTCAAATACAAGTGAAGAGCAAATCTGGAGATTCTCAGTCAGGCAATCGTATGCCACCTTGACAGTAAACGCGCCCACGTGGTATTGAATATATAGAACCAAATGAGAAATTGAAGATGTGGTTGATATGGTCTTTGCATGATATGGAATTATGTGGACATGGTGGCCCAATGTCTGCTTGCTATGGCTGAAAACCTACATGTTTCTCTGACGTACAGTGATTCGCTGTTTGTGTAAAATGGCTTTTGCCATCAACAGTGGGGTTGGAGAAAAGTTAAGAACAGTTGTGCTCCATTTACAGCAACTGGCGAAGCTCCCAAGAAGAAAACCCTGTTGCTATGTCATCTGCTTAAGGTATGTTATGAAGGCAAGTTAAAGATTGAGTAGAAGATATATCATCCTGCAGGTTAAATGACTGAACTAGGCTTTAATGTAGAAAGCAATGCACATTCCATCTGCCTCCACGTATGACGATTTTCTTACAACTTACTTAAAAAAACCGGTAATGCATTTATCTTCAGAACTGATGCAGCGTTTTTAAAAAGCACAACCTTTAAAACCTACCATGATTGGCATGCTAGTGATAAAATGTAGCATTTAATACAAAATAGCAGTATCAAAGGAATATGGCATTTTACAGAGGCTGCATCAGAACTTCAGAGACTTCTGTGATCATTACTTGAGGGAATGCAAGAAAAAAAATGTAATTTAAAAAACATAGTGCCAGATTTCCCCAGTGGATTCCTTAAAGTGCTTTGGAAGAAAAGAAATGAACAGTTTATGGTGTAGATTAGCTCTCCTTTTGGCCTACGAGAAGATGAAGGACAAAATAAGCTATTTTGACTTGGGGAGTTATAGGAAGCTTGTAATGGAGCTGAGAATAGTCTCTCAAGCATTCCGAATTGCAGTCACATTTATCTAGGGTGTTTCATCTTTCCAAGCCAGAACAGAACTACAAATCTGGGCACCCATTGACTTTTGATCATCATCTAAAAGCTTTTGGGTTCAAGTATTCCCTCTGCTAGTTCTTTAAGGTCACCATTAACCATTTTTTTAAAAACTGCAGGAAGTGTAGCTGCATTTTATGAGCCTCAAAAGCCGTTCTGTATCCCATTAATTTTTTCCACTGGAAACAGTGCTAAGCTGGAGCAATAATTAAGCTAGCAACATACTACACAGGATTTTAGTGGCGTTTAAAAAACTTGTAATTTAAAACCACTTGAATAATCTAGATTTAAAATCACTGAAATGACTCTAGCTATATGCATTCTGACTGCAATAACAAGAAAACCCTATCCTCCAGAAAGCTCATAATGTTGAAAGACAAACTCTGCAAGTACTATTTTAAGAACCAAAAGTGGCTTTTCCTGAACCAACAAACTCAGCAGGAATGAAAGAGTTCCCTATTCTTCTGGGCAAAATGCAAATGAAAACAGAAGTCTTCTTTCAATAACTTCTTTCATTCTGTAATTAAGACAATTCCACTTTGGTGGATTTCTTCCTTCATGAAAACCTGATTAATGTATTTGATCCTTCTTCCGATTCCTGAGCCCCTGGAAGTGTCCAAACTACAAAAGGCGACTCCATCCAAGGTGATTGTGGTGTGAAGTTGCCATTAAACACATCATCTACTGAAGCTGCAAGAAAGCACAGGAAGGAGAATTACAACACATCTAAGGAAATAGGCCACTGTAATCCTTTTGCCTACAAAACTGAGAAACTTTCTAATGCATATAACCTAGTAGGCAAAAAAAATATCTTAGTCTGGTAATTCTGGAAGAACCAAAACTTATTTTTAGGCCTCATCTGCACTCTACCTTAAAAGCAGCATCACACCACTTTAAACAGTCAGGACGTCTCCCAAAGGCTCATAAAATCATAGCTCTGTAGACCTGAAAAGGGACTCCAAGGGTTGCCTAGTCCAACCTCCTGAAATGTGGGAATCAAAACTAAAGAATCCTTGACAGGCGGCCATCCAACCTCTTTAAAAGCCTCCATTGAAGGAGAGTCCATCAGCTTCTGAAGGAGTCTGTTCCACTGTTGGGCAGCTCTTACTGTCAGAAAGTTCTTCCTAATTTTTGGTTGGAATCTCCTTTATTGTAATTTGAATCAATTAGTTTGGGTCCTACCCTCTGGAGCAGCAGAAAACAAGCTTGCTCTATTTTCCATGTGACAGCCCTTTAGATAGTTAAAGATGACTATCTTTTCACCTCTCAGTCTTCTCTTCTCCAGACTAAGCATACCCAATACCCTCAACCGTTCCTCATAAGGCTTGGTTTCCAGACCCTTTATCCTCTTGGTTGCCCTCTTCTGCACAGACATTCCAGTTTTCAATATCCTTCTTAAACTGTAGTGCCTAGAACTGGACACAGTACTCCAGGTGGGGTCTGACCAAGGCAGAATACAGCAGTACTATTACTTCCCTTGATGTGGACACTATTATCATGGAATCAGTTGTTTGTTAAGGGTGCTGAGAGTTGTGAGGTGATCCCTACTTCCCTCACACTTCCCAGAGTACCCCAGATTAGTGACTCAAACCAAACCTCCATTTTAGTACTCAAGGTTTGGGTTTCTTCAAATCAAAGGATCCAGGAGCAGTTCAATCATTGTGACCTCTGAACAGTACAGTGGTACCTCAGGTTACATACGCTTCAGGTTACATACACTTCAGGTTACAGACTCTGCTAACCCAGAAATAGTGCTTCAGGTTAAGAACTTTGCTTCAGGATGAGAACAGAAACCATGCTCCAGCGGCGCAGCAGCAGCAGGAGGCCCCATTAACTAAAGTGGTGCTTCAGGTTAAGTACAGTTTCAGGTTAAGAACGGATCTCCAGAACGAATTAAGTACTTAACCCGAGATACCACTGTATGTGGAGATATAGATTTTAAAAATCTCACTTAAAAACACGACACCAACTTACCCCTGGATGTAACACTAAACTTTCTGTCTGAAAAGCTGTTTGACCGCATGTTTGGTTCACTCATTTTATCCAGAAACTTTGTTATCATCTCTTTCTTCTGTGGATTGGTACTGGACAAATTCAGAACTTTCCCATTCACCGTAACTGTCCTTTTGCTGATCCCAAACCAATAAAAGAAGTCAAATAAGGCGTCGCATTTGAACTCAAAGGAAAAACTCAGGCTCTCTTTATTGACCAAATGGGCTCCAGGAGGAAAAAAATTCTTTACAACATCTTGGAAATCAAACTGCACAAAGAAAAAGAAGGTATATTACCAAATTTTGTACCCCTTATACCTCTAGTTATGAAAGCCACTTATATAAAAGTTTTGGAATCAGGTTAAGATTAATCCTACCCCAAAAGCAAACAGTGGTGCAGCTAGGTCATTTTAGACCCTGGACTTAGTAGTCTAACTGGGAGAGCCCTTTAAACAACCATGTTTTATACTTTATGATTGCTTCCACATTCCTGAAATGTTAGAGCAAAAACAAAGGAAGAGCCCTGGCGGGGGAAAACCTCTAAGCACGTGCACCTTTGCATTTTAAACTTCCTTAAAAGCACAGCACCAGCACAGCTATAGAAATAAAATGGAATTTGCTTCTGCTGCTCTGATGCTAACCACATTTACTTGGTAATATGCACCATTTTGTTGTAGAAAAGTAATTACACTAGATTTGACAGTAAAAATAAGAAAGCATCTGTAACCACGTACGTGCCCAGTTGGCCACTCGACTGTACAGTATTTTGAAAAAATAAGAAAGGATGCTGTGATGACCCAACATGGAACCTGTTTGCTGCTACATCCATCATCACCTGCACTCTGGGTAGTCATTTGGGAGCCCCTTGAGCAAAACAGCCCTTAGCTGCACCACTGAGAACCAAGTAATCATTGTACACAACACCAGGTCAAGAAAGCTGACAAATAGCCAAGAGGGACAAATGTGATATATAATATTCAGTGTCGATGTCCTTTGGAATTTATGTGTCAGACACTTGTCTTTCGTCTGTCGTTTATTTCAACCCGACAAGATTCCAAGATGTTTCAGGGAACATTGCCCTTTACCCGTCATAAAAAGTTTCATTTGTACCAGACACAGAGCAATTACACAGGTACAGACAGAAAGATAACAGCCATATGTAGGACAACCTCTCTGTCTAACTCACCTGAAGTTTGTAACTTTCTCCAATCACAGAAGATATTATATTGTTCATTCCATTCTCAATCTGTCTTCTCATCTTAGGATGGCGGGTGTTCACAAGCAAAGCATATGTTTTTTCTAAGGATGGATTAGAAATTATTGTTATTTATTAATGCCAGACCTTACTATTGTATTTCAGATGTTGCTCTTAAACCTTTACACAAAGTTTTGCTAGAGTTCTCTTCTCTTCTGTAGACTGCTGCTGCACACCCACACACTACTAAGTTAGCAAACACGCGTGAGCATGGTACACATCTGTGAATTTGCTTTAGGGAGACACTGTTATGGATCACACAGTATGTATTATACACCATCTAACATGTGTGTCATTTTCTCACGTTACTAAGTGCATCAAACATACGTCTTGTTTGCCTGCTAGTCTTGTTTGCCTGCTAATCTTGTAAGATGCAAAGCAATCCTTTGATAGTTACATTTGATTGGATGTATAACCGCTGCTGCTGTTATAGATCCCATAGTCTCTTATTGTTAATTCAAAGAGTACTGCACATGGACTTCCAGTGGCTGTATACAAGAATTAAGCCACTTGAAATTACACCTTTCAGAAGGTCTCTGCTCACAGGAGAGCCTAGTTCAACACCATTTTGAGCTGTTCCCCATAGTCTCTAAATTTATTTTGGTTCGCTGCAAAAATCTGAGTTCCTGTTCCTCTTTTAAAACGTTTTATTGCCATTTGAGGTTAAACTGCCTTATGTTTTAGGGAGGAGATATATAAGTATTAAATTCAGATTCCATAGATCTGAAGAGAACACTGCTAAACTTGCCATGATTAAATACTAGACTGGAAGCAAAACCAGTGGGCTACTTGTGTCCTCTAAAGCACATTTATGCATTTGACAGGCTTTGTGAGCTTCAACTTTCTCTTTAAAGTAAAGCCGCCTGGTTCAGCTTATTTAAGTGAAAGTTGAGATTCTCAAAACCCATGAAATGTACAAGAGTAGTCCTCTAATTATGCTTTGTTCCAATCTGATATTTAATCAGTATTTAGCAGTATCTTCTTGGAATCTAGGTCGCTGGTTTTCAGAGATTGAAGGCCAGCCCCAACCACCTTCCTTATCCTAAGGTAGCCGCTCTAAAACCACATCCTTGCTGGCAACAACAAGCTCAGCCCATGATCTATTTAATTTTCGTACTCTTTAAACATTTTAACAGGCAAAAAGCCCCAGATCCAGCTTTATGTGCTTTTAAGGTATTTCAGCAAGTTTTGCAGTTCTTGTAGTCCACAGAGAGGTGGACCTAATTGTTTTCAAATTAATCAGAGTACTCATCCATGGAAGGTCCAGCAGAAACATCCTTATCCAACCAAATAGCAATTTGGGAAACCACCAGCGATCAAAACCGGTTCTGCCACTGTGCAAGCATAACTGTGCCACAGCAGGAGGCATGTTTCACTGATATAAAATCAAACAATATTTTTACATGTTAGAACTATGTTATAAATCAAAGTTGCCAATCTTACAGGGAGGTCACAGCGCAGTGACAGCTTCATTTTTAAAAAGGCATCGCTGAACTGAATTTAACCATACCAGATTCAAATTCAACCATGGCTCTTTACACAGAGTTTATTTAGATCCAAAATATGCCCTTTTAAAAAAAAGGTTCACTCATAGGTTTACCTTTCGAAGAATTATATTTTGTTCTGACGTTGAAGAAGAATACCAATGGGCGACCCAGTATAGTTTCTCTGTAGTTTTTATAGTCATAGTGGGTGTTGAGTTCTACGTATCTGTTGGGAGACGAAAGCTGCATTAACGCAACTTACCGGTAATTGAAAAGCAGGATACAGAAAGTTACAGTTAAGGTAAAGGATTAAAGCAAACTTTGCAGGAAGCATAGAAATAAAATGAAACAAGTCACGATAAAATGTTTCTGTTATTCAGCCACCAAACATAGCTGTCAACTTTTCCCTTTTCTTGCGAGGAATCCTATTCAGAATAAGGGAATTTCCCTTTAAAAAAGGGAAACGGTGACAGCTATGCCACCAAAGATCATTTACGTAGACAGAGAGGTGAAAACGGAGCTGTACAGAAGGACCCCACCCCACAAACAAATTTAAAGTGACTGTGAAGTAGAACCACTCTTGGTTAGGAAACTATTATTTTTGAAGCGCCCAGTACACTTAATTAGGCAGGAATTACCACATCTCCTGTTTTGAAGGCTATCCTTTTCAATGTGACTGTTTGTTAAAGCAAAAACAGCATCATAAAAAGGAGAGAGTAGGACATGTGGTTAAGGATGTGTCACCTTTTCCTTTTATGAAGCCAGGCTTCTGGCGTTTTTAACCTTCCTCTTCAACCATGAGAGAGTTGAATTGGAACTTTACTTAGACCACAGTCTTCAAACCACGTACTTTGGCATAGGTCCAGTGAAGTAAAAAGAAGGATAAGTTTAAAAAAAAATAAAAATCCACCCTTTAAAAAGCACAGGTTTAAACGTCTCTGGAAATTGGATCTAGTGCCTACATGCCAGGACTAAGATGCTGGTTTCTGAAGCTATGAGAGTTGGCATCCATTAATCACACATCAGGGATTACCAACCCAGAACTTGAGGGCACCACAGCCACCCTCTGGGGCCTTGTGCATTACCCCTGGGCACCAGGGGCCCTGGATGCTGGTTTGCTGACACTTGTGTATTTTCTGAAACTGTATGATTGTTCTTAATAGGAATGGGGGTGGCAGACGCTTCGGTTGCCCATGAGGGGCTTTTCTGAAGGGGGTTGTGGTTCAAACTGGTTCTGCATGTGTGATTGAGATGCATGCACTTGGGGAGAGGGAGAGAGAGATGTATCTGGTGTGTGTGCAAGTTTCAGAGAAAGAGGTATGTGTGGTTGTGTTTATGTGAAGTATGTGTGTCTGAGGGTGTGTGACTGTGAACAAATTATGTATTTTTTTCTGGTACTGGGGAATTGCCTCTGTTGTTAGACAGAAACAGTATTTGGGGTGGGGAGCAGGAGAAAACCAATATTGTGTGATTTCCACAGTCAGGACCAGCACATAACAACTGGCTTCCTACAGCAAGTGTGAGGTTGTCCAGGATGCAGGGAGTTGCAACGACTGTCCTCTCCCTAATGTAGTGCTATGCCACAGCCCCATGGCAGCCATGTTACGTTCTACCATGCTCCCCACTGCAGCCATTTTGTGTTATATACCACAAGCTCCATGACAGCCATTTTGTGACAGGTGCCCAAAGCACTTCCTCGGAATTTGAAACTGATGCAAAAAAGTTTGCAACTTGTGCATGAAGCAGATACTAAGTCTCTTTCATGGTTTTAAACTTTAAAAACAAACTCTTTTAGGTTACAGACATCAAAAGAGGTTTGATTGATCGATTGCTCTGTTTGTGCACCAAGTTGAAGTTTGATGAGCCTGACCAAACTAGTTTAACCAGGGTTATTTGGTTAGAAGGAATCCTTTCTTTCTTTCTTTCTTTCTTTCTTTCTTTCTAAAAGAGATAAACACATTTAAGCCTCTTGCATTCCACTGTGCTCACAGGGCAGGGAGCAGCTGAATGCAAGGACATGTTAGCTTTCGCTAGAATGCTTAGTGATCAGTCTGTACATTATTAAGTACAAACCATGGAAGCCCCATATGGGAAAATGCATTAGCCCCACAGAAGTCAAGCAGATCTATTTAAAATTCCAATACCCTGGGGCTCAGCTTTATTTCAGTCAAATGCTTAAGCCTGCTTGGATAGATCCATGTGGTCGCCTTCTATGAAAACTATGGTTTAGAGTAATTTTATTATTTAATAAGTCCCCAAACAGGAACAAAGATAGTGTAGACTGGGGGAGGGGGGTGAGAGAGAGAGGTGGGAGGCAGAGGGAGAGATGGTAACAGAAATAAAAAGCAACCTTTTCCTGCTTTATATTACTAGATCAGTTAAATACGGAATACAGTACACCATTACTGCTGCTTCTGTAAACACATCATCACATTTGTTAAGGCAAAGTGGTTTGTTTTTCCCCAGGCAGGCCAATTTTACTCAATTTCACACCATATAAACTGCTAATCCTGCATGGGTTCAGCTATTTGGAGGAATATATTCCTCTTAATGGCTCGCCATACGATATAGACACATCTTCCCAGCTTGTATCTCCCCAGCTAGTTTAAAACTAAAATTGTTAATGCATTGGAAGTACAGAGACAGTACAACAGACAAGCCAGATTCATTTCCCCACTTCAGCTTATAATGTGGTTGTTGGACTGTGTAAGGTGGTAATGCAGGATACCAGTCAGACACAGGAAAAGTTGGATGGGTGGTACAGTAAGGAAATACACATGCTCCCATGAGTCAGTGTTCCAGCTGAACCACAGTCATGCTGTTTATTCCCTGAAAGTGATTAATTTGAAATGTGCTGGATACAAGTTAGTCCGTGCAAAAATTGTACTCCATTTCTTAAATGCCAATTGCAAGGCACTGGAAAAGACGCAAGTCACTACGTCCTTTTGAAAACATCATCTACCAAGACAAATGGGCCTAATTTTCCACCACTGAAAATCAGAGTAGCTGGTAACCAAGCAGATGTTTCTAATCACCATTTCATTTTAATTTATGCTCGTCTTCGCAAATATTTGCCCATATAATATACATATACCAGAATCTTAAATCTTTCAGAGTTGGTAAAAAGGTAAAGGTAAAGGACCCCTGACAGTTAAGTTCAGTCGCAAACGACTCTGGGGTTGTGGCGCTCATCTCGCTTTACTGGCCGAGGGAGCCGGCGTTTGTCCACAGACAGTTTTTCTAGATCATGTGGCCAGCATGACTAAGCTGCTTCTGGCGAAACTAGAGCAGCGCACCGTTTACCTTCCCGCCACAGCGGTACCTATTTATCTACTTGCACTTTGACGTGCTTTCGAACTGCTAGGTTGGCAGGAGCTGGGACCAAGCAATGGGAGCTCACCCCGTCACAGGGATTCAAACCGCCGACCTTCTGATCAGCAAGCCCTAGGCTCAGTGGTTTAGACCACAGCACCACTCATGTCCTTTTCAGAGTTGGTAGCTCATGTCTAGTTGGATTTTGTAAAGAAGAACTTGTAGCAAATTCTGCCATAAAATGCATATTTATAAAGTGTCGCTTTTCATACCCACACCATCCCTTGAACTTTGAATTTATTGTTATTCACGCTTTTATACTGTATTTTATGCTGTTTTTTGTTGTATCACAATTAAATGTTTTAAATTTGTTGTTAGCTGCCCTGAGCCCGGTTTTCTGAATCAGGAAGGGCGGGGTATAAATAAAAAAATATTATTATTACTCCAATTGTTTTATATATATTTTTAAAGGATTTTGACAGATTGGCCCTCCTCCACACCTAATTATTCTTCCCCTCTTCCCAGTGCACCAATGCAAGTATTTAAATTGGTGCAAAGGCAGGAGGGGCATTACTGTATATCACCCATGTAGACCAGTGGAAGATCCTGGAGGTGCAAATATCAATGAGCTGTGGGACACACAGCAGTTATAGCCACTCAGAAAAAGGATAAATGGCTGCTTTTAGGTGTCAATATACACATTCCTGACATCTTCCAGAAATGGCTAGAAAGATTAAATTTGGGGCACCTCTGGGACAGGGGACTCAAGAGCATATTGCAACTTTAAGCTTGGCACGATTAAAGTGCTTTGTTGTCCTAGTGCAACAAAACCACTTAATTTTTTAAAATGGAACTTTGTGTGGTTTGGAAAGTTGAAATCCACTGAGAATTGTGGGATGAACAAATTGTCAATGGAAAGACCTGCAAACACTCCACAAGCAAGTTGGAATGAATGCTCAATGAAGTCTGGACGATAAAGACTAAAAGCTTTGAGTTTGAATGCCAACAAACAGGTCATCTGAAAAAGCCCCTGGGATTTTTTTAGTACTGAACTGGGGGCAGATGCGGGGAGGAGACAGAAAGAATTGTACCATACTGGTACTTGCCTCCTCCCCTGTAAAAGGAATTTAGGGCATTCAAACTGGATAGCAATCCCTACAGAAAGCTTTGGGATTCCTAAACATGGAATGAATAACCAAATTTGGGATAATAAAGAAATGCATAACTGTTTCACCTTTACATTCTAAACACTGGAAAACTGTCATTTAAACTCACTGCCACAAATTCAAAGAGTTTTAGCCAAGCCTAGCAACCATCAGTTTTAAATAACTGCTCAGATTCGTTTTCTCAATAATGTAATGTTAACTGAGCCAGACCCTCTAGAGACATTCCAAATAGTGTCTCACACCCAGCCAGTCTTTTTCTGTTCTTGTATACAGTAACACTGCAGCGTGCCCAAGTGCTCAGATCACAAGGCAAAAGTTGCATCCACAGCTTAAGATTTCCAAAGGCTATGATGCATTCTTTTCTGTGCCGTCCAGATTTTCGGCAAGAACAGCTTCACAGAGCCAGGTTTTAGCAAAGGAAGAGTTTCATGCCCGCAACATTGGTTTTAGAGAGGCCAAATCTTTGCATTGTAGGCCTGACAAAACAAAAGAACCAAACAGGATTTCAACTTGTTCCTTTAAACAAACAATCAGAGTAAAGGATAAAAGGATAAGCTGCCACACCCTGTAGTTTTCATTGAAAGAGAACAAGTCTAAATAACAAAGAGGTTACACATAAGAGAAGGTAGTTGCCCCACAATAAGGAAATAATTTTATTTTTTTTAAGCCTCTAATTGAGGAAAGCAACAATATTAAAAAATTAAGAACTTAGCCTATGTGGCAGCATGCCCACCACTGCAAGCCCTTGAGGAAGGGGCTGTAGTTATTTGGTAGAACAGGTGCTTCATAAGCAGAAAGGCCACAGGGTTTAATCCCTTTCAGACATCAATCTGAAACACTGGGAACTACTGCCAGTCAGTGTATGCAATACTGAGCAAGATGGTCTGACTCTGTATAGGGCAGCTTCTGCTGTTCATATGCCTATTTCTCCAGGCTGCAAGGCCCTCTCCATCCGCGTGGATGGGCTCATAGAATTGTAGAGTTGGAAGGAAGTCTGATATGGAGTCTCCCATTTCAGAGTTGCTTCCCTGAAATGATCATAGAATTGTACAGCAGAGTTGGAAGGGAACCCGACAATCACTCACTGCAATGCAGGAATATGCAGCGGTCCCAAACGGGGATCGAACCTGCAACCTTGGCGTTATCAGCACCACACTCTAACCAACTGAGCTACCGTCACAGAAGGAAAAAGCTGGTCCCTGAAATGTCCCATGTTTTTCCTCTTGCCTCCTCATTCCCTTTCTCCTCATGTGTCATGTCTCTTAGACATGAGGCTTCCTTTGATGACAGCTTGGAAACTATAACTAGGGCAGAATTCAGCAGCCAGATTATGAACTGGGACTAGAAAGTCTGAGCACATGACATCAATCCTGGCCCAACAACACTGGCTACTGACTAGTTTCCGGACTCAGTTCAAAGCGCTGGTTTCGACCTATAAAGTCTTATGTGCCTCACAATACCTCAAGGACCATCTCTCCCCATATGAACCAACCCAGACCTCATGGTCTTCATCAGAGGCCTTCCTCCATGTACCTCACCTGAGGGTGACCAAACAAGAAAGGGCCTTTTCTGTAGGGTGCATTCCCTGCCCCCCCATATGCAAATGGCTCTTCCCAGGGAAATCTGCCTGGTGGCATCATTATATCTTTTTTTTAGGTGCCAGGCTACAACTTTTCCGCCCACTCAGGCCTTGGTAACTAGGCTTCCATGGTGATGACCAGCTAGATGCTGCCAATAAGTTCAGAAACAAGGCATGAAAGATATTACTATTACTGTAGGGTTGGCCTTCTGAACCCTGTTGTCAAGTTAGCACTGGAAAATCCCGAAGCAGTAGGGGGCAGAGAAGCATGCAGACTGAGATCTGCAAGACCTCTGGTGGTCTGTAGTGGCTCAGCAAGTGTTTTTGGCTCAGCAGCTTAACAGAAACAGCTGAAACAACAAGGGGGGGGGGAGGATCCTCTACAATAACTGGCCTTGTGCTAATCCCTTCTCTGTCTGCTTTGGCGTTTTCAGATCAAGGGAAGAAATCCCTGGGCTCAACATGTGCTCAGAGGCATCCTGTTCCTTAGATTTTCTTTTTAATGTTCAGCAGAAACCAAGTTAAAAAGGAAAAACTTAAAGGGAGTGAAGCACTGTAGCCTTGGAGGGGTTGTGGGTGGCTGAAGGGATCTCTAGGTCCTGGGAGACAGCCGATGATAGTATCAGACCTTGGTCTCTCCCGAAAACTCAGGAGAAATGCCCTTTCCCCTCAGTTCTAAGGCCACATTCGCACCCACCTACATTTAAACCACTATGATACCACTTTAAATGGTCATGGCTCCCCATAAATAATTATGTGCCCTATTGCTAAGAGTTGTTAGAAGACCCCTACTAAAGTCCCCTCCCTGAGTTCCCTGCAAGGAGGAATTGATTGATAAATTACTCTGAGAATCCTGGCTGTGCAAGAGGAACATGGGTCTCCTAACAACTCTCAGCACCTTTAACAAACTACAGCTCCCAGGATTCTTTGTGGGAAAGCCATAACTGCTTAAAGTGGTAGCAAAATGCACATATATATGGGGTGAATGGGGCCTAAGTTTATGTCTTCCTGAAATTTCCCATTTGGTTCCGGTTGGTGAACCTTGAGAGTTCTAGTATGAAAAACCAAGCCTGATGTCTTTTCTAATGCACCCCACAGTGGAAAAGTGGTGGTGCCCAGTTAACCACTAATGGACCCTTCAGATCCCCAAAGCCTGAAGTCCCTTGGATACTCTTTTCCAAGACACTGCCTGGCATTCACGCTTATCCAATACCTTCTCAATGCTTCTTTTTACGAATTGACCTGCCAACCTTTGTATGATGACACACCTTTAGTAATTACCATTATCAGTCTTCAGGCTGGGAGCAGGAAAAGGAAAGGCATATTCCTCATGCTCAGATGCACTCATTTATTAACATTTCACATGTTCCAGAGCTAAGCCATAGATCTGAAAAATTTCCATCCAGAGAAAAGAGAGCAAAGGAGCTTCAAATACCCAGTTAGGTGACAATAAGAACAAGGTGGAAAATGAAGTTGGTACAGGAGTAAGCTACTACTGTTGTTTGAAAGAGCAGGTAGTAAAAGATGGCTATCTATATAAAACCCTCTAAGCAGTTTCCATAACCCCTGGGCTATGGCTTAATGGGGAATGGCCCTCCCAGCTAAGTGATAAGAGTATCTGCTTTGCATGCAGAAGACCCCTGCCTGAAACCCTGGGGAGCAGCTGCCAGTCAGTGTCAACAACATGGAGCTAGATGGACAAATGCTCTTGACTTGGTATAAGGCAGCTTCCTAGGAACCCACACCTATTTCATCTCCTTCCAGCCCATTTTCACAACAAACCAACCAGGTCCGCACAAACACCCCCAAAGACTACATACTGTACTGCTGTAGTTTCATACCACCCGCCACAAATCCAGAGCTTTTATACTTTTCATCTAGGTTCCGGCAACCTTACAAAGTACCAATCCTGCTTCTGGTCTAAGATGAGCTATAGGGGTTTGGACCTGCAAATAAGTCTCTCTTTATTCTCGCTCCCTCCCCGCAAGGGCTCCAGTGCCTTTGCTAGCCCGCATGGCATGTAACAATTCAACAGGTGTAGTTTCCCAGCTAGCAGGGCGGAGGATCTGCTAGACTCGCTGGAGGCATCACACCCACTGCCCCAAAATGATGCTAGGAGAAGAAACTGGGTGCCTCCCCCCCCCCCCCCAAATCAGGGAATGAGAAGGAGGTGAAGTTCTACCTCTTGAAGTAGTCGGTGAGCTTGCAATGGTACTGCCCGTCCACGTGGACGGAGCCGTCGCTGATCACCGTGAAGCCGCCTCCCAGCCGCCGGCTTGGCGGGCTCCGCACGGTCAAGGCGCCCCCCGACAGCTGGAAGAACTCCGGCTGCAGCAGCGCCAGCTGTTGCAGAGGCAGCACAGCCATCTCGCAGTTGCACGTCCGCAGGCTCTGCAGCTCCCCCGACGAGACCGAGGTCAAGCTGGGCCGGACCGAGTAGCACGAGTCGGACCCGCTCCAGACGGCCATGGCGGCTGAGGGGCAGCAAACGGAGGGACGAGAGCAGCAGCAGCGACGGGCTGTGCAATGCACTGCTAGCAAGCGGCGTCCGCGCGGGCGAGAAAAGCGCTTCGGCGCAGCTCCGCCTCCGAGCCGCCGGGGAGCGAAAGGGAGGCGGAGCAAAGGGCCGACGGCAGCGGTTGACGCCTCCTTGCTTCAGGAGGGGGCAAAATCTGCAGAGTTTAGGCGGCCTTGGCCTGCAAACTTGGCCTACCAAAGCAGCGGTGAGCAATCGGCTGTCCGCTTTCTCCGCCCTCTCCGTCTCTTTCCCCGTCGGGGAGTCACGGACTCCAATGTGGCCTTTGGAAGCCGGCAATGGGGGTGTTATTATTGTGCTGCTGCAGGCGCCTTCCTCTGCCCCACTCCCCAGCTGCAATAAAACATGTCTCTTCTTTGTGGGTCTCTGCAGCCACAGGCGTTGTTGGCGCACTCCTCCATTGCCTCTTAAACAAGCTGTAGCTTGGGAGCCCCCCAAAAATTTAAAGGAAAAAAACCGGGATGTACATTTCCAAAATATAAGATAAAAAACAAATAAAATAAAACCAACATAAAGCAACAGTGGCAAATGGCTTTAGATACCTGTTAGGTTCATAAATTACCATATAGCATATATTCAACAAAAAACAGCAACAATTTGTTGTTGACAAAGGACAGCTGGACATATAAAGGGCCACATTACCTTCAGTAGCTTAGGGCTTCATCAAACCTAAATCCAACCCTGCTCCTGAGACAGACGGGTGCCAAATATATTTATTTATACCCCGCCTGTTTTCCCCTAACAGGACTCAAGGCAGCTTGCGGATAAAAAGAACTGCTAGAAACATAGAAAAAACAATTAAACAGTGGTAGAACTAAAACCATATGCATGCACAACATCTGTTAAAACCACACAAGAATTACAGTAAAAACAGCACAGCGCCTTTCATTAAAAGCAGTTGATTCCCAAAAGCCTGTTAGAGCAGGAAAGTTGTTACCTGCTGGTTCCTTCTGGGTTAAAGTAGGTTGCATGAGTTTACTCACGCATGCATGTGTGCCAGATCACATTGACATGTGCATTATAGTATAGCCCATACATGCCTACTCAGAATGGAGGCATATTGCATTCCTGGGTGAGTGAAGAGGACCTCAGCCTTCAAGAGTGCAACACCAAGGGTTCACATGTGTGAACCAGGTCACCACCATTAATGGGAAGGGCCATAGCTCAGTGGTATAGATTTTGCACACAGAAGGTCCCTAGTTCATTCACCGGCATCTCTAGGTAGGGCTGGGAAAGGACCGTAAACAGCACTGTACTGAGCTAGATGGACCAAAGGTCTGACTCTGTAAGGCAGATGCCTATGTTCCTGTGTGATCATCTCAAATTCTTTCCCATCTGCCTTTGCTCATCTCTCAGCAAGCTTGGTGGAATCTTTTGCAAACTGGCAACTGAGATCCACAGACTGTATTAATTATCCGGGAGTGACAATACTTTGGAGCTACAACTCAATCCCTGGATTCGATGGAGATGCATTGGCGTAATTGGCCCAAGGTTTTAATAATATACAGTGTGCTTTTTCCTGGGAGAAAGCCCCATTTAATTCAGTGGGGCTTGCTTCTAAATAAATGGGCCTAGAAAGCAGTAATCCTGTGCAATACAGTGGTGCCCCGCAAGACGAATGCCTCGCAAGACGAAAAACTCGCTAGACGAAAGGGTTTTGCGGTTTTTGAGCTGCTTCGCAAGACGAATTTCCCTATGGGCTTGCTTCGCAAGACGAAAACGTCTTGCGTTTTTTGCAAGTTTGTTTCCTTTTTCTTAACACCGTTAATACAGTTGCGACTTGACTTCGAGGAGCAACTCATAGAACGCGGTGTGGTAGCCTTTTTTGAGGTTTTTGGCGATTTTTGAAGCTTTTCCAAAACTTTTCCAACACCATGCTTCGCAAGACGAAAAATTCGCTAAACGAAAAAACTCGCGGAACGAATTAATTTCGTCTTGCGAGGCACCACTGTACTTAACTTGCAAGTTGGTAGTGAGTCAACAGGACTTAATGTCTAAATCACCATGCATTGAATGAGGCTGGAAGACAAGTTGTTTAGAGAGATTTGGCTGACATAGCTTGTCCTGCAAAGGTGAAATAAGTTACACCCTGCTGCAGTTTCTTCTAGGTGCATGCACGACACAAATCTGCACAAACTTTGATTATGCTGATCTACAAATCCCTTTTCACCAGTCAATACTATCCACCCATGATATCCAGCAACCAGAGATCAATACAACCAAAGCCACAATTTGAAGGCAGGGAAATGCCCCATGCGCAAATCAAATAACTCCAGAAAGCTGGCCAAGCCACCGCTTTTGGTTTGTCAAAAAAGAGGAAATGCCTCACCCAAAAGAGGACACAGATTTATTTACAGTCTGCACATGCTACTTTTTATGCATAGAAGTTTGTTTGGAAATATTTGCAATAACATTAATAGAAATATGATTACCGGTAATTGCCCCGTAGGTGGAAAGTTAACCAGGTGCCTGCTTCCCTTGCTGTTCAGGTGCTAACAATTGATGGGAAATTCAAGTCCCTTGGTGCTGCTGTTGCTATGTTTAGGTTCTTCATTTTAAAAGTGGACTGAGACTGGACAGCAGCTCTTTCAAAGAGAGGACGCCTTCAAACAGAGTTCTGTCCTCTGCAAAGTAGGGCACATTGGCACCCTAATTATATTAAGCACACAGAAGATATTCAAAAAAAATAATCTGTCTATTAGCTGGGAATGTACAACTTAAGCTTGATAGATGTAAACATGTTTTCTTTAAAAAGTCTAAGAGTTTATAGCACAACAGCCATCACTCTTTCTGAGTTCCAGACGGGACAAGCAACTTATGTCCTTATGTCTCACCTGGAAACTGCCCAGAGATAGTTTGCAGCTGTAGCCTGATAGAATGGAAACTGCTAGGTGAAAGGGAGGATGAAGCCTGGTGGAGCTGACTTCTCAGCAGAGTTGTTAGCTTGCCTTCTCCTGCTTCCCTTCTAACCCTCGCTGCAACCTGATGGAATAGCTGCTGCAAGATTTACTCTTTAACACTCTTCAGTATGTGTGTGTGTGTCCGTGTCCTTTTGCACCAGACCCACCTCCTATACTCTAAATTAAAATCTGCTTTTTAAAAAAGCTGCTTCTATTTTAGTGTATTCATCATACGTTGCATGCCACCCAGAAATCCACATTGCATATAAATGTTTTAATAAAAGCATTTTTTATGTATAAGAGTCTGATCCGTTCTATAATAAAATTGTAGATAGAAGGGAAGAACCCTAAATGCTTTTGTGAGCTCCTTGAAAAAAGGGGCTTGGATAAACTAGTTCTTCCTGTATCTTAGTAAAAAAAATTCATCCAAAAAGGGGAAAAGAAAGGGCTGGATAAAAATAGACTAAACAAAAATTTCACAATCATTACAGGAATCACTGTGTCAAACATTTGTATCATGGGAGTCTTATGAAAGCATTTGCTGCGTTTCCAGAGTTGTTTTGAAAGTTTGTAGAACATTTGTTGCAAAACTCTCAGGGTGCAGAATAAGAAGTTTATTTTAGTGAGACCTCAGCTTGTTTTCAGTTACTGCAAATTGGAAAAGCATGTCCAGAAATGAGTGGCCCTTTTGGTATTATAGCTATAGAAATTTGTGCACACTCTCCCTCTGATATGAATTACCACAGATACATTTGCAGCAGAACTGATCTCATCTTTCTGGCTGAGATCCATTTACGGACGAAACATTCACATATGTGACCAGATTGTGTGAATGAAGGAGAATGAGTGTGTGCTGCTAGGTGGGGATGAGGGAGCTGTACATTCAAGAACTGAAATAGTTTCCATTTGAGATAACATGCTCCAAAGGCAGAAACCTTGAGAAATCTGAGAAATCCTAGATCAGTGGTACAGGTTTGATCTCTCTTAATTTTGTGTGTGTGCATTTGAAATAGGAATATTCAGTCCAAGTCCTATCAATTTGTTTTAAAACAAGGCAGAGAAAACACAAGCACTGACGCGATGGGCCTGTCTTACATGCATCTAATTGTGCATCTGTAACAGAATGTTGTCGCCATCTGGAAGTGGAAGCAAGTGTTCAATGAAAATGCAGAATTCTGAAGCCGCTTCACATACAGAATCCAGACCTGTACAGAGAAAAATATCCTAAGATAAAAATAATAATAATAGAGTCTTGTAGCACACATTTATTGTGACACATGGCTGAACTGCCTTGTGGCAATGGAAGGCAAATGGATAGGCTAATAAAATTCCACTCAAATTAAGGTGAAATATATGCCATGGGCTTCAAATATACTGTACAAACAATGTTCTTACGTTTCTGGCATCCTACTGATGCTGCGATCTCAGAGTTTCAGTGCACACTAAGGGCCAGATGATTTTGTTGGCTTTGTCCTACTGTAGCATCTCATGTAGAGAAAGCTTTCTCCAATTAATAACTCCTTCTCGCACATCAAAACAACAAGAAGCCTTGAGGAAGACTCTCTCTCTCTCTCTCTCTCTCTCTCTCTCTCTCTCTCTCTCTCTCTGTGTGTGTGTGTGTATAGATCACTACATAGATCACTACATCCTTGCATTGTTACACCCACCCCAATCTCAGCTGTGAGAGATTTTAGGGATCTCAGTACACATCTTACGTTTGGTTTCCTTGGAATGAAAGTTGCTGCAGAATTGATGTCTTCTGTCACACAAGGTTTGTTTTCACTTATACTAGTACTCCTTTAAGTTTATAGGGAGCTTTCTAACGCTGCAACGCTGGATCACAAGGGAGCCCATCCTCTTCAGTAGAAATTCTGTCTGAGAAAAGTTTAAGACAACAACCTGGTTTTTTTCCACCATGGAAATTCTTGCATGGGGCGAGTCTGCTAGAGCTTATGTTAGTTTAACCTACTTGGTGACCTGTCATTTAAATGAACGCTCATCAGGCACATCCTTGATTGTGGTTTATGGCAGATGTTGAGTAAGAAGAATGATGTTATAGCAGGGAAGGGTAAGATTATTTACACCAAACATTCAAACCACAAGGATGGAGAAAGTGGAGAAATTCTACAGCACTAAGCTTTGTCAAAACAGGAGGCAAAAAATGATTGGAAGTGGAGGGAAATCTGGTTTTACTCATGTTGCCTCCATCCTGCAGGAGTTAGTCACCATGGAGACTTGCTTATTTTCTCCCAGAGTGACTCACAAAATGAGCTTGCAACATTGCAAAGAATTTAGATTAGCGATACTTTGCAAAGAAGCATTGGTGTTTTAGAACATGATATATATATATATATGTTTATTCTGCTACAATATTGGGTGGCACCAATGGGGGGACAGGAAGGGCATGCATTCTCCAAAACCAAAAGCTCAGCCCCTCCCCCCTTGCTTCAGCGATCTTAATTTGGGAGACAACTAGCCCACCTAGAAATATACTTTGTCCCTTCTGTGCCTCCCCCCCCCCCCGCCAATCCCCCCCCCCCCGGTGCTGCCACTGGAAAACAAGTGCTATTTTATATTCCTTTTGCACACTGCTTTGAACATTCTTTGATTCAAAAGCGGTTTGTAAGTGTTGTGAACAAACAAAATTTGAGAACCAACCAATGTGCTCACATTGATAATAAAACAACTACAAGGCTCAAGCAAACAGAATGCATTTGGGTCTACACTTAGGTACAGTGGTACCTCGGGTTAAGAACTTAATTCATTCTGGAGGTCTGTTCTTAACCTGAAACTGTTCTTAACCTGAGGTACCACTTTAACTAATGGGGCCTCCCACTGCCGCCACACCACCACCATGCGATTTCTGTTCTCATCCTGAAGCAAAGTTCTTAACCTGAAGCACTATTTCTGGGTTAGCGGAGTCTGTAACCTGAAGCGTCTGTAACCTGAGGTAACACTGTATATGAATATACAGATAATTATTTCAACCAGAACAGTGAAGGAACTGCCTTCAGCCATGGAACCAGTACTTTAAAACAACAAGCATAACACATACATCTTTTGAAAAGCGATGATTGCAGCCTTCTTCAGGTGTTCAGTGCAAATGTATGAAGAGAGTCACAGGGCTGTACACAAAAGCCCTCTCCCTGCTGGAGAACATCCTGCATTGAGTAGGAAAAGGGCTTGTAAAGGCATTCAGCTGAAAATGCTTTCAAGTCTCCTTGTCCTTTCAGACAAGGGTCTCTTCCAGCCCTGCTTTGGGAGTCGGGATGCTGGGAATTGATGTAGATGCTCTTATCGCTGAGCTACAGACCTCCCCCAAGTAAAAAACCTGATGGTCTGATATTCAAAGAAAATATTGACAGACCTGAAATCTTTGAAACCTGACGCTGCAACAGCAAGGGACAAGTCATAACAGGAGAGTTGGGCAGGCTCAAGAGAATATGAGATTATGTGTGAAAGATGGCACAGAGTCAAATGGGCTTAATGTTCTCAACAGACCATGTTGGCAATGAAGCATCCTCAAGGATACTTATGCAATGGCCCCCAAAGCCATATTGAGAAACTACAAGAGCGGTATGTGGAGTCAAAGTGTCTGGCTGCAGTTCTCTTTGTATTGATTGTGTAACTGTTATCTCTAGGAATGCTGAAGAGTTTACATTTTTGGACACCGTAAAAGATTGTGTCTCCAAACAAGCACACCCATGCCTTGAGTACTGAATTCTGCTCTACGAATATTTCAGGAAAGCTGTTGTCAAGTCAGCTGTGCAGTAGGGAATTTCAAAGTGGAGGAGCGTGTTGTGAGAGACCCCATAACAACCACATTCCTAAGGAGAACACCTTTAGCTGTGATTCATGCATTGCAGCAGGGTTTGATTAGATCACCGTTGGGTTCTCTTCCAACTCTACAGTTCTGTTATTCATCTGGAGGGCACCATATTGTCTATCCCTGCTGACTGACTGGATTAAGAGAAACTACTGTTTTGGTGGTAGACTAAGAAGAGTCCATCATTGCTGTTTTCAGAACTGTGGCCACAAGTCTGCAGTGAGCCCTGAGGGATAGCTTAGTTGGTAGAGCATGAGATTCTTAATCTCAAGGTTGTGAGCGTGAAAGATTCCTAGATGATACTTGTGGTCCCTTCCAACTCCCTTCCAAATTTGTGATTCTAAATTGATTAGAATAACTCTGTCACTTTTCTATCACAACACCACCAGAGCAGTTTTGTTTGGTCTGGATTTTATTTATCTGATTTATATCTATCCCAGGGGCTCAGAGTTGCTTACAGCCAGTGTTATTTTTTTCCTAGAGAAAGAGGTGCAGGAACTCACACTTCTTTTGACGGATAACCCTAAATTGAGGTGTCGGAACGCACCAAAGAGGTGATGGAACTCAGTTCTGGCTGAAAAAAAGCCCTGCTTACAGACCTAAATGTTAATAATTCTGACTCCCAATGGCTAATTATCTTAGGGTCACAATCTTTGTGCCACAGCTTCCTGTGCCACAGCTTCCACACGAATGCCAGACCTTCCAAGTGTCCCTATTTTCTAGAGAAAATCCCAGATTTACAGAAGGCATCCTGGTTTCTGATTTGGTCCTGGAATGTCCTGCTTTTTGTTAAGATATCCCTATTTTCATCAGAGAAATGTTGGAGGGCATGGAGTTATGTGACTCCCCCCCCCAAGTCATGGAGATAAGTAATTTATACTTTAGAAGACACCTGAAGGCAACCCTGTATAGGGAGGCTTTTTTAATGTTTAATGTTTTGTTATGTTTTTATATATGTTGGAAGCTGCCCAGAGTGGCTGGGGCAACCCAGTCAGATGGACAGGGTATTCTTATTCTTATTCTTATTCAATCGGACGTCTCTGTTTTCATTGGAGAAATGTTGGAGGGTATGGAATCTTAATGGAATGGGGAACGTTTTCATTCTGAGGGCCACATTCTTTTCTGGACAACCTTCTGAGGGCCACATGACAGTGGGGACCGAGGTCAGAGCATATCCCTAAACTGTCCCGGGAAAACTGCCCCCCATGTGAGAGCACTGCCGCCATTTTGGACATTGTGGTCTCATGCTGTGATCTCACCCTGGAAAAAGTGCTTTTGGGGGGCTGCTGTCTCGTGACCTTGCCCCAGGAGCATGACCTGGAAGAAACATGGTCCCAGTTTTTGGCCTGGACATGTTGAAGTGTATGTCATAGGCACAAGTGTGTGGAGCAAAAAAAAATAAATGTGAATTTTACCTATTGTACAGTAGGCTATGTTCTTCACTCTCACACACCCTACCCAGGCAAGCAAGAAGCATGATTGCAGTTCAAGGGCACATTCCAGTCAGGCAAAAACATGCAAGGAGGGTGTGAAGCAGTGCTGATGAAGGGTATATGGCTCAGAAGTATATGGGACCTGGGAAGAGGCTCCAGGCCTGGTTGGTGTCCTCCATGTTATGAACTACAACTCATCCTGGCTTGGGCCCGTGGAAGTTCTGGCCCACAATATCTGGAAGGCACAAGTTGGCTGCCCATGGTATAATCACGTCAGAAATGTAGTGTGGTTGGCATGAAAGATGGTTTAGGGTGCTTCAAAGAGAACGTTATAATTTTGTTCCTTGGGACTTAAATACTACATGGAAGTAGCCCATGGCAGAGCAAGAGCTGCAGTTCACATAACACCATTATTATTATTATTTATATCCGGCCCTTCCTTCCAACAGTGCCCAGGGCAGCAGACACATCAACAGCGAACAATATTGAGAAGCATTCTTAAACAGTTAAAAACATTCTAAAAACAGCTACAGTGGTAAGGGTGGGGTGGAATTCTGAAAACCAAGAGCCTTCTTTAAAGATGGTTTGTTTTCTTCCCTTGTGCTTTGCAGCTCTTTTTTCGGCTCTTTGTCTTGCTTGTGCATCACACAAAATAAACCTGACAGCCCTATGTTGTGTGGATGACATTTTAAGTGTGCGTGTGCTTGCATGTTTGGCAGGGAGGCTGGAAATGCTGTAATATTGGTGCAATTAGTAGCCCTACTGCCACCTCCTGGTCAAAACGATGCCGGCAGCACAAGAAAAGAAAAAGAGGATTCAAAGAGGAACCATCATATTTGCTTTATTTGTTTATTATCTGCAAGTTTAAAAAAAATACACAAGGCAAGATGCCAGCTGTCGTATCCATTTGGCAGCTTAATGATGTTTCGAGACAGGTAATGAATTGGGATTACGGGGAAAGAATAAACTAAGTACTTGAAAGTGACTTCTAAAAAGTGGTGCCTGTGTTTGCTTGTTTTTCTCTTTACCCCTCAATTCCTTTTTTCCTTCAGTAAAGGAAATGAGTGCAGAACATGCCGTTGGAAAGTGCCTTGTATTTACTGACATTTTGTAAGCCGCTCTGGAAATCTTTTTGGCTGAAGGGTAGGGTAAAAAATGCTTGCACTAAAATATAGGGGTTGTCTTGATGGATCGGACCAACATGGAGATTCTAGATGTCATTGCAAATAGGCCCGAATAGACGTATTAGCCATGAACCTGCCTAATTCCATATACAGTGGTACCTCAGGTTAAGTACGTAATTCGTTCCGGAGGTCTGTACTTAACCTGAAACTGTTCTTAACCTGAAGCACCACTTTAGCTAATGGGGCCTCCTACTGCTGCTGCACCGCCGGAGCCCAATTTCTGTTCTCATCTTGAAGCAAAGTTCTTAACCTGAAGCACTATTTCTGGGTTAGCGGAGTCTGTAACCTGAAGCGTATGTAACCTGAGGTACCACTGTATTTATAAGAACATAAGAAAAGCACTGTTAGATCAGGCCAAAGGTCTATCTAATCCAGCACTCTGTTCTCACAGTGGCCTACAGAAAGCATGAAAGCAGGACCTGAGTGAGACTGTACTCTCCTCACTTGTGATTCCCAGTGACTGATATTCAGAGGCGTACAGCCTCCAACAGTGGAGGAAGAACATAGTCACTTTGGCTAGTAGCCATTGGCAGCCAGACCCTCTATGGACCTGTCTAATCCTCTTTTCTTTTTCTTTTTCTTTTTTTGTATTTTTCTTAAAGATTTTCTTGAAAGCCCTCCAAGTTGATGATCATCATCACATCTTGTGGCCGCGAATTCCAACATTGAAAACAGGATTGCATGTAACTGCCCTGATACCATCGTGAGCACAAAGCGTTGCAAATGCACAATGAAAATGACATGGGGGTAGAAATTTTGATTACCCAACAAGCCTGGCTCAAGAACTGGCCTTAGGTGAGAAATCCTATAAGGCAAATACAGTGGTACCTCGGATTACATATGCTTCAGGTTACATACGCTTCAGGTTACAGACTCCGCTAACCCAGAAATAATGCTTCAGGTTAAGAACTTTGCTTCAGGATGAGACCAGAAATTGTGCTCCGGTGGTGCGGCAGCAGCGGGAGGCCACATTAGCTAAAGTGGTGCTTCAGATTAAGAACAGTTTCAGGTTAAGAACGGACCTTCAGAACAAATTAAGTACTTAACCCGAGGTACCACTACAGTCCTAGAGCAGGAACCGGCAAGCCACTCCAGTATCCCTGCCAAGAAAACTCCATGGACAAAGACGGCGTGCTCTGGTCCATGGGGTCACAGAGAGTCGGACACGACTAAAGAACTAATAAACAACAACAACAACCACCTGCCGCCAAGGTACTATTTCTGGGTTAGCGGAGGCTGTAACCTGAAGTGTATGTAACCTGAAGCGTATGTAACCCGAGGTACCACTGTATAACTGATATAATGACCCAGAGGCCACCTTCTGAGCTTGGAAAAAACTTTCAAAGTCAACAGGTTACTTCCAAATGTACTCAAACAGAGAGAGATGGCTATCTTCAGGACCAGTTCCACTTGATATGCACGGACCTCTCCAGCGTGAAAATATTTCTAACGATAACAAATGGGCTACTTCTGACTCTAGTGGAAAATTTTACACCTCAAGAAAGAGGCACAGGGCCAAATGACACTGACCAAATGAACAACCTACCCGAGCCAGCAGATATGAATCGCCCAGTAACCAGCAAGAAATCACAAAGACATGGTGGTGGGTGCTCCTGAATTTCTCTATAATTTCGTCGATCGCAGTCGTGGGTTTAAAAAACACTGACAAGGGGGAGCAGGCTCATTTCTCACAAAGCAGCTGATGTGAACGGTGCCTGCACCTCTTGTTTCATAACTCTTAAGTCCTGCAAGGCAGACTAAATACTTTAAAAGCAAAATAAACAAAAGCCTGAGCTCCTCGCTGGCGCTGATACAGCAGTACTCTCTGTACCCACTTCTCGATGAGCCTGCTTGTTACTATGATCCCTGCCTCCAATCGGTCTTGCTGCAGGTTAGACTCATTGGAATCAAAACATAAAGAGTTGCTTGAGGGCTTTGACCTTCTTTGGCACACAAGCTATGCCTGCACTAACCACAGCTTGGCTGCAAAGGATTATGCCAAAAGTACCCTGTAGATGGCACTATTACTTCTGGTAAAATAAAATTTCAGGGTCTGCGTTAGTTAGGTTCCTTATTGCAAGGCTGTCTGTTGAAAGGCTGTCTGTCCTATACAACATGCAGCGGGGAAATGAGGGGGCAGCTTTTTCTGAGTCAAGTAACTAGGGGAATTGTAGCTCTGCGAGCAGAACAGGGGTTTCCTAACAACTCTCAACACCCTTAACTGTTCCCAGGATTCACTGGGGGAACCCATGGCTGTTTAAAGTGGCATGATACTGCTTTCAGCGCATAGTGCAGATGGGGCCTAAGAATAGTGTGAAAAGCTTACATTGAGGTTTATGAAGCGACTGAGTCCTTGAAAGCTCCACAAACAGTATGTGCACAGGGGTTGGTTTCTGCTGCCTCTTATCTTTTTCCTTTTCTTTGATAGGGTATGTGGGATATGTTAGGTAGAAACTATGTGCTTTATAGAACTGAGTATCATGCTGCAGGTCTGAATCGATTCGGAAAACGTCAACAATACCCTAAATTAGAACCTGCTTTTTTTTAGATGTCAGTCCTCAGAGGGGCTGGCCCTACCTTTTTGAAGAGTGAGGTGGCCACCTCAGGCGCTGGCTCCGGGTGTCATGAAAGGGCACCAAATTGTTTGTTACTGCGGTTTAATAATTAGTAGCATTAGCAATATTAGCATTGTGGTTTTTTACTGCTGTGGTGGGGGAGAGGTGCTTGAGGGATTCCCTGCCTCAGGTGCCAAAATAACTTGGCTGGCTGTATTTTTTTTTTTTTACAGAACTCTTGGGCCTAGACAGTACTGGGCAAGCTGCTGTCGATCTCATTTCCCCGTAGTCAGGATAGAAGATGATGAATGTGATAAGAATTTCTAAGTAATGCAGAAGGATAAAGTTTCCAAGCAGTATTAATGTTTTCAAGTGCAAGCATTTCACAATCACATTTTGTAAAATACTTTGGCCACCTCATGAGAAGAGAAGACTCCCTGGAAAAGGCCCTGATGTTGGGAAAGATGGTAGGCACAAGGAGAAGGGGACGACAGAGGACGAGATGGCTGGACAGTGCTCTTGAAACGACCAACATGAGTTTGACCAAGCTGCGGGAGGCAGTGGAAGACAGGAGTGCCTGGCGTGCTCTGGTCCATGGGGTCACGAAGAGTCGGACGCGACTAAACGACTAAACAACAAAAACGGTTTGTGGAATAATCAGCATTGTTCTGACAGTACAAAAGAATCATCTTCGCTTTCTTTCTTGTTTTCCCCTAAGATGAAAACAATTGTGAGGTTTTTTTCCATCTCAGTTGAAAGCATATGATCCTCATTTATTAAAAGGTAAAAAAGGAAAAGTATTGAGTCAGCCTGGTCAGTCCTACAAGAGCCTGGCCATCCCCATCAGCTCACACACATTTTGTGAAATGCATTTATTCTGAAGAAGTTTTTTAAGGTATAGCAAATGGCAGACTTTGAGCTCTGAGTCTGAGGGAGGATATGTGTGGCAACTTGAAGCTGCCAAAGTGGGGCGGGATAGAGGAAAGACGTTTGGAAAACCACCAATCTGAATAGATCTGTATAATGAAGATATTGGAAGACAACCCTCCCCCCCCCAGATGAGCTGGATAGAGGACCAAAATAAGACTTACAAAATGACTATGTCCTATATATAGGAATGTTTTAGAAGTGTGCTTCTCAGTTTAAGACAGGGGTGAGGATTTTGTGGGGTCAAAATTCACTGCTTAGGAATGCATTAAAAAAATCCCCATAGGAATCAATAGAAATCATGGACTCGTTATACAAACACTCGCCTAACAAACTATTTCCTGAGAAGGCATTGTGTTTGGATAGTGAGGCTTGCATGTACAATCCCCACAGGGATCACACTAGTGAAACAGCAGCCAGCAGGACTAAACTTCACCAGTGGCATCAGACGATTGACAGCTGGGCAAAATTGGCCTGTGGGCAGGAGGGTCCCCATCGCTGGTTTAAGAGAAGGCAGCTCAAACACAAATGAAATGTTTGTCCTAGTTACAACCTAGGCAACAACAATATTTGATGGCTGTGCATTCCCTCAGTGAATTTGTGTTATTTTGTGTTATTGTTCGAAACAAGCTCTGTAGCAATAATAATAATAATAATAATAATAATAATAATAATTTATACCCCACCCATCTGGCTGCGGCTTCCAACAAAATATTTAAAATACAATAAAACATCAAACATTAAAAACTTCCCTAAACAGGGCCACCTTCAGATGTCTTCTAAAAGTCAGATAGTTGTTTATTTCTTTGACATCTGATGGGAGGGCTTTCCACAGGGTGGGCGCCACTACCAAGAAGGCCCTCTGCCTGGTTCCCTGGTTCTGCCTGAAGGTAAAATCTTATCTAAAATGTACAAGCTTTTGTTGGAGTGGCATACGAAAGATGAACAAGTTAAATCGGTGATGATAGATTGGGCAAGAGATTTAGGACATAACATAATGTTTGAGAACTGGGAAAGATTGTGGAAGAAAGGGGTGAAGTTCACCGCATGTACTTTGTTAAAGGAAAATATTATGAAAATGATGTATAGATGGTATTTGACTCCTGTAAAATTAGTAAAGATGTATCATAATTGTGATAATAAATGTTGGAAATGTAAAGAAAAGGAAGGAACATTCTTTCATATGTGGTGGACCTGCTCCAAGGTGAAAGACTTCTGGGAAAAGATTTATAATGAATTGAAAAAAATGTTGAAATATACATTTATAAAGAAACCAGAGGCCTTTCTTCTTGGAATAACAGGTTTGGAATTGCCCAAGAAAGATGTTAATCTATTTTTGTATGCCACAACTGCGGCTCGTATTTTGTTAGCTAAAAAGTGGAAAACCCAAGAATTACCAACAGTAGAAGATTGGCAGATGAAGATGATGGATTTTATGGAGCTAGCCGATCTAACCGCAAGAGTCCGCGACCAGAAGGAGGAGGAACACCATGAAGAATGGAAGAAATTTAATGATTCTTTAGCTAAATTTGTTAAGCTAAAATAACTGGAAATAGCCTCCAGATACTTAATGGGCTTAGGATTGTATTTATGTTAACTGATAAAATAATATGTTTAATACAAGAAGGAGAAGATTTAAAGATGTTAATGTTTAATTTAAAGGGTATTAAAATTGGGATTTGGAAAACCGTTATAAGGATATGCAATGAAATTCAACTAAGCGGAAACAAGGAAGTCGTTCTACAAAGTAAATAACTGTTATTTTCAATAAGGTTATGATTTATGTTTGTTATGTTTTGTTTGTTTTATGTTTTTGTTTGTCATTGATATTGTAAAAACTAATAATTTTTTTGCAAAAAAAGAAAAAGAAAAAAAAAGAAGGCCCTCTGCCTGGTTCCCTATAGCTTCACTTCTCGCAGTGAGGGAACCATCAGAAGGCCCTCAGAGCTGGATCTCAGTGTCTGGGCAGAACGATGGGGGTGGAGATGCTCCTTCAGATATACTGGGCTGAGGCCATTGGGCTTTAAAGGTCAGCACCAACACTTTGAATTGTGCTCAGAAACGTACTGTTACTTTTGAGCAGCAGTATAACGGCATAAATAGATGTGCTCTGGGGTGCAGTTGACTGTGGATTAATACAGACTAGAGGTGGCACAGAATGAATTTAAATAACTGGGTGTCAGAAGACTGAGAGTTGTATAATGAGTTCTCTGTTGTATTATGGATCTGCATTATCTTCCTAGAAATATAGATCTCCAGACCTTCAAATGATCTTTAAAGGTCATCTGCCATGAGGCAGAATTTATGATATTACATCTAATCCAGTTTTGGTTTGGTTGCTTGAACACCCACTGTGGAGAACTCTGTAACTTGCTTTGCTCATTTGCTCCACTGATTAATCCTAAAATTGGATCTTTCCCCCTCTGTCTTAAAAGTTATTTCTTCTCCTGCTCTTAGTGAGTAAATGGATCCTATTCCATTGATAATTTTACCTTCACTACAGCAAACTACATTGCCTTTCTTTCAAACAAATGAACATGGCAAGTAATTGATCCCTAGTGATCATATGCTCCCGTGAGACAGCAACCGGGGGCAGTGTGATGCCACCACACAGAGGGTGGCGCTGTGGTCTAAACCACCAAGCTTCTTGGGCTTGCTGATTGGAAGGTCAGCGGTTCAAATCCCAATGATGGAGTGAGCTCCTGTTGCTCTGTCCCAGTTCCTGCCAACCTAGCAGTTCGCAATAACGCATTCCGAATAAGTGCAAGTAGATAAATAGGTACTGCTGCGGCAGGAAGGTAAACGGCGTTTCTGTGCGCTCTGGCTTCAGTCATGGTGTCCCGTTGTGCCAGAAGCGGTTTAGTCATGCTGGCCAAACGACTCGGAAAGCTCTCTGTGGACAAACACTGGCTCCCTTGGCCTGAAAGCGAGATGAGCGGCGCAACCCCATAGTCGCCTTTGACTGGACTTAACCGTCCAGGGATCCTTTACCTTTTTACCTATCAAGCAAAGCACAGCTCCAGTAGGCTCCAGTAAATGAGATAGCTTATGTATGCTATGTATAGCCCATAACAAGTGAAGCCTTCATCAAAATGTTGCAGTATATCCTCCCTCCAGAAAAGGAGTGCTTCCAGCCATTGTTCAAGCCAAGTATTTCCTCTAGGTAGAACATTCCTCTCTTTGCCCCCCTTGCCAGTCGCATCTGCAATACGCCAGACATCTCCATACATTATCCCTCTGACATTTAAATGGAAGCAAGCAGCCACCAAGAGATGGGAAGGACACCCTCCTGAGAAGCTGGAGAACTGCTTTGGGAGGGAAATAAAAACCAGGGGAGGGAAATGGAATGGAGTATCCTGGGAGAGGGTGCAGCTAGCTGGGACCCTGAACAGGAGGACTCCACACAACAACTTTGGTGCACATTCTCCTTGTGTTATATTTGTGGAGAAATGAATTATTGGTAGAAATGTAACATGCCTGTAGCAACACTTTTAGGATCCCTTCTGAGACTGCCTTTGTTCTATAAACTCGACATCTCTGACCAGGCAAATATATGCAAAGTCGTGTACAGGAGTAAATGAAGATTACAGAAGCATTTGCACAGCGGAACACTTTCTGAGCAACTTTAGGTTTAATCAAGGCTCTGTGGAAGAGCGTCGCAGCACATCATACGGCTGTGTTGTTGTTTTTTAAGTTGCTGATTTCAGAAGTAGCAGTCTGAGAAATATGAGAGGAATAGTTAACAAGAATAACTTCACTCACCTTTGTTCTCAAGCTGCTGAGAAAATCCCTATCCATCACTGGCGAAACTACAGCATATTGGGATTGTGGATGATTCAAATATACAGCTTGATATGCAAAACCCTTTCTTGCCACACAATTCCATGCAAAAAAATAAAATAAACCGCCCTCGAATAACACTACAACTTGTGGGCTTCAAATGAAGCTGAATGTTGGAGGATTCAAGAGAGGCTGAAGAAAGTACTTCTTCCGTCAGTGAAGAATTAAAACTATGGAATTTATTTCTGCAGGAGGCAGTCATGGCCACCAATTTGGATGGCTCTGAAAGAGGATTAGACAAACCCGCTGAAGACAAGGCTGCCAATAGTTACTAGCCAAAACGGCTATGTTCTGCCTCCATGTTGGAGGCAGTATGCTTCTGAATGGCTGGAATTTGCAGGAGAGGAGAATGCTATGCAGATATGCAGATGACACAACCTTGATGGCAGAAAGTGAGGAGGAATTAAAGAACCTTTTATTGAGGGTGAAAGAGGAGAGCGCAAAATATGGTCTGAAGCTCAGTATCAAAAAAACGAAGATCATGGCCACTGGGCCCATCACCTCCTGGCACATAGAAGGGGAAGAAATGGAGGCAGTGAGAGATTTTACTTTCTTGGACTCCATGATCACTGCAGATGGTGACAGCAGTCACAAAATTAAAAGATGCCTGCTCCTTGGGAGAAAGGCAATGGCAAACCTAGACAGCATCTTAAAAAGCAGAGACATCACCTTGCCAACAAAGGTCCGTATAGTTAAAGCTATGGTTTTCCCAGTAGTGATGTATGGAAGTGAGAGCTGGACCATAAAGAAGGCTGATCGCTGAAGAATTGATGCTTTTGAATTATGGTGCTGGAGGAGACTCTTGAGAGTCCCATGGACTGCAAGAAGATCAAACGCATCCATTCTTAAGGAAATCAGCCCTGAGTGCTCACTGGAAGGACAGATCGTGAAGCTCCAATACTTTGGCCACCTCATGAGAAGAGAAGACTTCCTGGAAAAGACCCTGATGTTGGGAAAGATGGAGGGCACAAGGAGAAGGGGACGACAGAGGACTAGATGGTTGGACAGTGTTCTCGAAGCTACCAGCATGAGTTTGACTAAACTGCGGGAGGCAGTGGAAGACAGGAGTGCCTGGCGTGCTCTGGTCCATGGGGTCACAAAGAGTCGGACATGACTAGACGACTAAACAACAACAACAACAACAACAACAGAGTGCTATTCCTTTCAGGTCCTTCTTGTGGACTTCTCAGAGCCATCTGTTCAGTCACTGTGAGAACAGGATGCTGGACTTGATGGGCCATTGACCTGATTCCGCAGGCTCTTCTTATGTTCTTACTATAGATACATCTTTCTATGCAGCTTTTTGAGCATGTTCAACCCCTCCCATCCCCCAAAAAACCGCAGCAGCCCACAAACATAATGAAATAAAATTGGATATCATCTGTGGAAAAGAAGGACAACAATATAAAATAATACGATAGGAAGAATATATTCCATTTTAAAAACACACAGCCGACAATATTTGGTGCTTATTATTTCCTACAGAAAAGTGCTTTCCAATTTTCATGTAGTAATGATCAGCTCAGCGCATGAAGTGAGCTATGTTCAGTCCCACTCACTGGGTAGCTAGGCAAGGTTCAAATCAGGTTTTGATTAGAAAGCGTGTAGAATGCTTTCAAGAGGGCAGGTTCCAGGCACATCTCAGCCTTGAGGTCATTATAAAAGCTTTCTTTTGTGGCAGTGACGCCAGGAAGGTTCTGTGAAGCCACATGAGAATGAAAGAAATCTTATTTTTAATGAATCGCAAATGGCAACTTCTTGCAAACTTGCTATTTTTTGCCTGGAAGTCTGTTCTCTGCCTCTGAAGTATGGGTCAGGTTTTACCCTATAGGGCCGCTGTTTCCTGCAGTGATGCTGACTGCAGCGGAGATAATTCCATTCCAAGGAGCAGGGGAACAGCAGGTGCATCACCTGTATAAAGACAAGCAGGTGTTTGCAATGGCTAAAAATATTTGGGTGGCAGTGGCACATTCATTTATTGCTTATGATTGCCGCACGTTCCCTATAGCAAAGGACATTACTTAAAGGACCCTTCTTTATTCCTTTTATAGCATTACAGACTGGTTTTTTTTGGTTTGTTTGTTTTTTAATTTCAAAACATTTCAGACCCATAATACTTCACAGAACAGACATTGTGGCTCCACAGGTCCAATCTGATCATTCAAGCTTGCTCTGTGAGTGGAAAAGGCAGTCTGAGATCAATTACACAAGATGATCAATGTTTATATACCCTGTTTATGCTAGGCAGGCAGAAAGTTGTAAAGATATGATTAATACCATCCAGCGCATCAGGGGCCCTGCTGTAATGAGTTAGGAATTTTTGGTTTTGTTTGTTTATTTTGGTAAATATCCTGCACTAGACGGGAGACAAAAATGCCACCAGTGCCATGCCAACCCAGAATGGTAGCTGTTGACATATTATGTGCACTGACTGACAATAAAGGCCATCAGAAAATGCTTTATAAGAAATATGAACCTTGATCTAAGGAAATGCAAAGACAGGATGAACACTTGTTTTCTTTTTGAGAGCCAGTGTGGTGTAGTGGTTAAGAGGGGTAGACTCGTAATCTGGTGAACCGGGTTTGCGTCCCCCGCTCCTCCACATGCAGCTGCTGGGTGACCTTGGGCTAGTCACACTTCTTTGCAGTCTCTCAGCCTCACTCACCTCACAGAGTGTTTTATGTGGGGGAGGAAGGGGAAGGAGAATGTTAGCCGCTTTGAGACTCCTGAAGGGGAGTGATAAAGCGGGATATCAAATCCAAACTCTTCTCTTCTTCTTCTCTTTTATGAGCAAAACAGCTCCCCCCTGAATGTGCTTCATTGCACATTGCTTTTCAATTTCCCCAGAATTAAAACAGAACTAGCAAAAGAAACATGGGGGGCAGAATAAGCGATGCTCTTCAGAAAATGAAAAAGTGGGAAAAACCTGCTATGTGTTCACTACAAGTCTCTGAACAGGGAAAAAAATTAAAAACAGGGTGGACAGAAGACTGGGTAGTCATTCTAGTTTTATCTTGTTCTTGTTAATTAGCATCAATATCAATGTTAATTAGCATATTATACATAAAAAGGAAATAATGTTGTATATCATTTGAGTATTGAGTGACTTTAAATCTGTTCCCTGTTTGCACAACCAGTTTTCACCAATATTACCAAAGCTAGTCATATAACACTTTCATGCCTTTTTATTTTTATTGTTTTTGTTTTAAACTCTTACACCTGGTGAAGATTTTGTGTTACCTCTCAAGATCACACCCAGCACTTTGGACATGATTTGGTCCGATAAAAACATTGTGGACTTCAGGAATGACAGGGATCAAAGAATAAAAGTAATAGTTTTGTCACTGTAAATAACTTTATTAAAATAACAGCATGTTCCAAAACATATACCATACTTTATTCTTATGTATATTAAGCCAATATGATAATGATAAAAATAGGGCTTTGAGCCAGATGGCTGGTTCTATTTCTACCAAAATGGAAGCCTCAGTGCCATTAACTATCATAGGAATTACAAATTCAAGAAGACTAAAAAAAACCAAGGATTATGTCTTAGAATCTTGTAAAAAAATTTTTTTTTTAATGATGGCAGCATAAAATTTTCCTTGCACTTAAGAATTCTGTGACCAAACCCATTTATAGGAGGGAGCCTGATAAATTACAGGAACATATTACTCTTCTCCCAAAGACATGCCAACTGTGCACAATAAATCATTTTCTTGTAGGGGGGAAAAATCTGTGTTAAATGAAAACTACAAAGTCCCAAGGAGCATTGGATTTATGGCAATCTAAAAGCAGCTTTGTAGGTTCATTTCAAACATCTGCTTCTGGATATTGATTGGCTAAGCACACTGACCTCCATTCTTTTTTACCTCCTTCCCTCTCTTTCTACAGAGATTTAAGGAATAAGCAGCAGTGGGGAGATGGTACCAGTTATGGTTTTTATATACATTTGAAAATCGCTTCCAAAAAAGTAACCCAGGTAATAGTTGAGGACTCCAGCGGCAGACATAAGGAACAGGAAAGCTATGATGCGTTTTCCGAAAATGTAACCAGGAGTGCTAAGAGAGAGAGAAAGAGAGAGAGAAAGCAGTAGGTAAGAATATATTGATTTGCAAGAAACGAGCTAAACCTCTCTATCTGTCATGAAGGTCAAGCTCAACTTAAATAGAGCTCAGATGTTCAGATTAATGGGGTCAAACTCTGCACTGATGTATGTCTTGGCAAGCACAATTAATTTTGAGTGAGCCGCGCAGGTGTAAATCAGCAGATGAATTCGGTGCACAGGGCAAAATTTATGCATCCCAGTAACCAAGACGGTTCCATTTAAGAGACGTATATATCTTATCCGAGCTATTAAAAATGATAGTCACTGATTATACTTGAAACAAAATTCAATAGCCTTGCATATTTAATTCAGGAACGTGATAGGGTATGTGGAAGCCAAGCAGTATAAGACAACCAGAGACCCTCTGTGTAAGGTCCACTGACTTCAGTAGGGTTTTGTGGATTTAGGGTTGTGGGCTCGTTTTACCTTCAGGGATTTTGCAGTGAGGACACTGACTGCTGTAATTCTAATGGTGCCTAAACATCATACAACTCCACTGTGTGCAGCTGAGAGCTGATACAGCAGTAACAATAGCACCCATGACATCCAGTCTTTGTGAAATACTATCAGGATTGAAAGGGAAGGTGAAGGGCCTAGTCTAGGACTAGAAGCCATGACTATTAAAGTGGTATAAGAGTGCTTTAAATGAATGTGACCGTATATTTTTGCTCCATGGAGGGAAAACACAGAGAAATACACAAGATGTGCTCTTTTCTCATATTTTCATTATTGAAAAATCTACATTCCAAAGAAGCATTTTCCCACATGTATTTCTCCACAGGCATTATTCTAGGTGAAAAGGAAAACACAATGTCAGAATAAGCCCAACAAACTGATTAGGAGAATCTAGAATAGTGGCAGGAAATCGACGGGCCTCCAGACACTGGTGGACTCCAACTCCCATCAGCCCCAGCCAACATGGCCAATGGGCTGAAATATTTTAATTTATTTCCATTTCTACCCTGCCCTTTCTCCTAAAGGGCGGCAATAGAATCTGTAGTCCAATAACGTACGGAGAGCCAGAACATCTCTTGTTATGGGGTGGGGAGGGGAGGGCAAACAAGGAATGGACAAGTGAGCCGCGATCTTCGAACTTTTGAGCAGATGTAAGTGGGGAATTACCTCTGTGTCCTTTCCCCCATATAGCCAACAAAGTACTTCTGTCTCACAAACAAGTACATCAGTCCAGCAAAGGCAGCAGGAGCTAAAGAGAAGTAGGAAAGGCATTTGTCATTAGACATTGTCACTTTACTTGGATTAAAATGCAACCTTGAGCACGATTCAACTACGGTAAGTTTGTTATTGATATGAGCTTTCGTGTGCATGCACACTTCTTCAGATACCATGCACACGAAAGCTCATCCCAATAACAAACTTAGTTGGTCTCTAAGGTGCTACTGGAAGGAATTTTTTCTATTTTGTTTTGACGATTCAAAGTGGTTTAACTATTATGGCTTTCAGAGGACGAGCCCTATGGAAATATAAATATAGTAGTTTAAACTCAGTTGCAGCATTTGAGGAACTTGCAAGGGAGATATAAGAATTAAGATATATTAAGAAAAAGTTTAATTATGATAAAAGTGTGTATTGGCAATAAGTTATATGAAATTGAAACATGGAATAGACTGGGGGGTTAGGTCTTTAGTGTTAAGACCAATTTATGTCTTACTGTTTGTTAAGAAAATTCTGTGCCTATTGTTATTCCTGTGTGTAATTTGGTATTTGTGTTTTCTCTTTTTTCTTTTCTTGCTGTATCAATAAAAAAAGAGGAAACAGTATTTGCTATTTTGCCTTGATAAATGCAAAACCTAGGCTACGTACACACGCGGGTCTGAAATGCACAGGGCTCTCTCTTTTTTTGCAGATCGCTTTTGTTGATAGTGATTTGCGGCTGTGCATTCCTTGGCACAATAGCATTGCCTAAAGCAGGAAATACTGCTTGTGTTGTCTGTACTTACAGGTGGGAGTGTATGTGAAGTAGTACACATGAAGGTGCTCTGCTCCCCTCCCCTCATTAGGTTAGTCACCCACCTCCCAAGCTCTGGTGGAAATGATGTAACACTTTGATGCATCTGCGTATGCACAGTTCCTTCCTCACTCCCTCCCCCCATGCATTACAATATGCTGCGGAAGTCTTGTAGGAGAGAGGAAGTGGCCCAGTCTTGCACCATGATGAGGTCTTCCCCAGTAGGAGGTGACCTAAGACTCTCTGTGTATATTTGAATGCAGCAAGCACTTGAGGGCTGAGCTCTTTGCAAAAACCGGATTAAAACTGTTGCTGCAGAATTCACTTTAGCTTAACCAGGGACGCATAGGGACAACATCATGTGCACAGCCCCCTCCCAAGCATGCCTGCATCCAGCACTGAATGCACATTATCAGGCAATGTGTACACACCCCCTAGGGAGATGGTGTGAAGAGGACTCTGAATACATTACCTTGACTACACAGCAAGCCAGCACACCAAAGCACGGCAAGAAAGGTAGGGTAGGCGTCTCTGCAGTTTTGGCTAGGAAATTATTTTTAGAAAGGGATATCGTCATACTGAGAGCAAGAAAATGTATCCATGCAATTCGAAGCAAAGGACAAGGCGCCTGTCAATCACAGGGAAGCTTAATGTAAAATCAGAAAGATAGCAATCTCAAAGGGATGTTCATGTCACAACTGTTATCTACAATTTTTTTTGACGTAGGTACAGTGCACAAATTGAAACACAGACAATTGGGGAAGGAAGCTTTTAATCTGAACCATGGTTTGTTAGCTAGGTAAACCTTGATTTCAGGTTGGCTCATTTCAGCAAACCATGGTTAAGACTAACCACATATTGTCCAGGTATGAACATCATAACAAACTGTGGTTAATCTAAAACGTAAGCATAACCTTCCAGACCCATCCTGGTGGCTCTGCCAGAGGAGGTGAGGGGTGAGCATAAGAACAAGCCTTACTTCATCTCATTCGCCTAACTAGCAAAGCCTTGTGTTTCAAAAACCGGAGTCAACAACAACATGAAGGAGAGAGCCACACCGTACATTTAAAGGACATCCAATGCACATTTAAAGCACATGACTTCCCCAGTTAATCCTGGGAACATCTAACAGAGCCAGAGTCCCCAGGATTCTCTGGGGGAAGTCATGTGCTTTAAATATGCATTGAATACGCTTTAAATGTATGGTGTGGATCTACTCAAAGTCTTAGAAGGCCAGCTTTCTGGGATGGAGGTGGTGGGTAGGAATAGTATCAAAGCAAATTTGGGCCCCAAAATCTCTCTTTAGATACATGCCTTGGGTCTGCAACAATTACAGCTGTATTGTTTGCCATTTCACTCCTCTTTCCCATGACACGCAAAATAAATACTCACTTGGCTGTAAAGACTCGCTCAAAGGGAGATGTACCGCCACGGTGAACAATTTTGCCTGTACTGTTCTTGCTTTCCTGTTCTACTTTGCTTGCAAAAAAAGCTGTTTTAGAATGGAAGGAAGGAAGGAAGGAAGGAAGGAAGGAAGGAAGGAAGGAAGGAAGAAAGAAAGAAAGAAAGAAAGAAAGGCTTACTTTCATTTCATTTCAATATTAACGTCCCACTTTTCCTACCTGTGGGAAGCCCAAAGTGGCTAAGAAACAACGTCAAAGACAGAAACAACAAACAGTTCCATAAACCAATGCAATGCAAATTAATCTTTCCAAAAAATTGATGTAATAAACAGTTAAATTATAAATCAGAATATTTCTGTAACATAGTAACATCAAACAACGACTTAACAAAATATCAACTTAATGTTTCACAAATATCACTTTCAATTTTCGGATGCTTGAAGGAATGGAATTTGGGATAGTAAAGCAAGGAAAGTCAATATATATGGAAAATCAATGCCTGGAATATGTTATCCTATCCAGACAAACAAGCATTGCTGTTGGTAGTCTTGCAGGTGTCTTTGTAAGGTGTGAAGGTCCAGAAGCACCTTTCATGAGTCAGTTCCAGCAGCGACCGACACCAATCTAAGCCTGACGCTGCTGGCTGAGAGCCACTGAAATTATTGGGGAGGAAAGATTAAGAGCTCCTTTCATTCCTCTGCTGAAAACCCCCTCTCTCAAACTGCTTTTTAAATTTTCAGTAATGGTGCTGGGACTCCAAAACATAAGGGTGGTTTTCAAGGGGGTTGCAAATCTCCCAAGTTCTGTTGCCTTAGCCATTACTGTGTGTTTTTCTTTGAAATATGCACACGATGTCTCTCTAGCCTTGGAAAGCACTGCAGCAATTTCAGTAAGGCCTTCAGCCAGAAAGAACTGTTGGTTCCTACCTGAATTGGTAGTTCTTGGGTTACCAATTCAGTGTGCTTTGGAATCTGATACTCCTTGCTGCCTTGCTGCAGTATCCTGAGAATTTAACATAAGAAGAATGGCCTCCAGGCACAAAGCCTGACTCGTTTACACAATTGCACTGATCTCATGCTGCTTATTCAAGAGGAGAGCAGGACAGAGAACGGTGCTACTAGCTGTGTTGCTAAATCAGTGTCCTGCATCTACCACCGTGGCCACAGCACCCTCTGAGTCATGTTGGGGCATCTGAAGAATGCCGAGAAACCCAAACATTTTGCTGCAGGTTGTTAGTCACTATAACAAAGATACGGTTTCAGTGATCAACGGCGTCCCTCCAGGATCCAGAACAAACTTGTCTGAAAGGGCAGCTTGGTGCTCTAAATAGAATCTCCTCCTCCCTCCACTGCTTCTCAAACTTTTTGTTCTCCTGCTGGACTTTATGCTCACTGTTGCATATACAGAGGTACCTTGGGTTAAGTACTTAATTCGTTCTGGAGGTCCGTTCTTAACCTGAAACTATTCTTAACCTGAAGCACCACTTTAGCTAATAGGGCACCCTGCTGCCGCCGCGCCGCTGGAGCACGATTTCTGTTCTCATCCTGAAGCAAAGTTCTTAACCTGAAGCACTATTTCCGGGTTAGCGGAGTCTGTAACCTGAAGTGTATGTAACCTGAGGTACCACTGTATAATGTCGCTCTGTGTGTGGACCTGTGAGTTGGAGAGAATGTAAGTTGAAGTTCAAATATATAAAAGGATGTCACATAGAGGAGGGAGAAAGGTTGTTTTCTGCTGCTCCAGAGAAGCAGACACGGAGCAATGGATCCAAACTACAAGAAAGAAGATTCCACCTAAACATTAGGAAGAACTTCCTGACAGTAAGAGCTGTTCGACAGTGGAATTTGCTGCCAAGGAGTGTGGTGGAGTCTCCTTCTTTGGAGGTCTTTAAGCAGAGGCTTGACAACCATATGTCAGGAATGCTCTGATGGTGTTTCCTGCTTGGCAGGGGGTTGGACTCGATGGCCCTTGTGGTCTCTTCCAACTCTATGATTCTATGATTCTATGATTCTAAGTTTTTCTAAAAACAACAACTCAGAAATCCCATTCTCCATTAATCCCCTTCTCTCCTCGCTACTCCTCACTGAACCCAAAAAGTTCAGTGCAGCAGGGAAGAGGAAATGTGGAAGGGCAGCAGCTTTGAAAGAAGAAGGTTACCAGGTCCAATCCGCAGGCAGCTTCTCCCAGTGGCGATAGGAAAGACCCCAGTCTGAAACCCCAGAGTCACTGCTTGTTCTTCTTCTTTGGCGATCACTCGTAGTTGAATAAGTTTGTCTTCCATAAACACAGTTTTATCAATGAGTGTGTAAGTGACTGTGGAGGCCAATTCTGGATCCACACGTCCTTCCACAGTGGGGACATTGGATTCCGGGCGGGAGTTGATCACTGCTGGTCAGTACTGACAAGATGGTACTGAATCGGTGTAGAGCAGCTAAGGTGATGCTGGCATTGATGCTAGGTGAGGTGTCAGCCCTGCTCAGTGTTTCCCTGCAGGTAAGAGTCTGGTCCCCCCACCCACCCAAGGGAGCCCACCTCCCACTGCCAGTCAACCTAGGCAGCAGCCCGGTCACCTCCTGCTATCACCAGAAGGAACATTTCCATCCCCACCAGCCTGCGACTTGCCACATGTGAGATTCTTCCCCCTGCCATTCTCTCAGTGTTAATTTAACATGGAAGTTAGTGTCAATATTGCTAGGCTAAGGAATCTGGAACACACATTGCAAGTATTTAATTTAAAACCCAGACAAATCAACAAAAAGAGGGGCGGGATTCTGAGAGGAGCTCTGAAACAACATGTACAAATACAGATTATTATTATTTAAATGCATTCATTCAAATCTTTCTCACCCCATGCCTAATGCTCAGGTCTGCCTCTTTTTCTGACCTCCCCCCTCCCTTGTTCTTTCTTACCATTCTGGACGACGCTTAAAAGCGTAACGATGACCAGGAGGACAATGTACCCCACCACTTCTTGGTCCATGCTGACGGCAGGCTTGCCAGGATATTCTGCTCAGCCTTTTTTTAGCAACTCAGCCAGACAAACCACAGAGGGAGGAAGTGATCCTCTCCCTTATCTTGCATCATGTAACTTTTCTGATGGCTCCACAGCTAAAACGCGGCATGATAGTAGCATATCATCTTCAAAAGTGCTATCAGTGCATTGCATTTATCAGCTGTGAAGGCCATGCCTCTCAATCTTTTTGTTTCGGCTTCCATAATCTGCATATCTAGGTGACGTGCCCATGTGAAGAAGCAGAAGTGCCTGTTGCTTTGAACCAATCCATATCGTGCAACCTGCGTGGATCTGAATTAACAGTGCCATTGCATTTGTGACTCAAAGGCTCAATGGTTTACTCCCAGGGGCATGAGACGACAGAATTTCTCTGCCACAATCTGTTTGGACCATCTTCAGAACAAGATCCTGCAGAGATACCAATAAGAACTGGAAAACTAAGCAATTAAGTGGCAATTAAGTGGTTGAGTTAGTTGTTATTATTTTATCCATTTAAATCATCTTACTCTGCTCTTAAGCCAAAAAGGATCTCAAAATGCCTTACATGAGAGCAAGACGGTCCCTGTCCACAGATTTATAATCTAAAACACAACACAAAAGGAAAAAGGGTTGAGGAGGGAAAAGGAAAAAATAATGTGCTACAAGTCAGAGTTATGCACTTCCTTCCTTCCCTGATTCTCCCTTGCATTTGCCCCATCATCACATTTTCCTTGCAAGTAAAATATGGGATTGGGAATCTCATGTTTTCTTATGTCCGTGTAGTTCTGCCCTCCATGTAGACATAGAAGCTGGATCCCCCATTTGAACACAGCATTAAAATCTTTCTTTCATGCTTTGCGTACAAATAGCACATGAAAGGCTCTCAATGGCAGCTAGGCCTGATGTCAGTGTTCTACCTTCAGTTATCAGTGACTTTGAATACCAGTTCCTAGGGAACACTACAAACTTAATTCTTTTTAAAACAGCATGAGACCACTGTCAATTAAAATTAGCTTTTGCTTTTCAGTGGAAATTGCAGTTTACAATGGAGGAACCTAAGATATGAAACAATCTCAGACGGATGATGGAGTAACAGCCAGCAGATTGGGTAAAAAGAAGGTGGAGGAATGTTCCCTGCGTGAAGCACATGGTGTGTAACTTTGAAACTGGTAGAAATTAGTCATAGCTTTGAGGATTTTTCCAAAAACAAATTTACAACTGTTTTATCTTGCAAACTTCCTTTGCATGCTTCATTTCTGCTGCGTTTTGTGGCTGCGAAAGGGAAGCTGCTCTCCAGTTTGCATGTGTAATAAGATTCGTGTGACACGTGCTGCAATATCAAGGAACATAGGAAGTGGCCTTATATGTGGTTCATCTAATCTAGTCTTCTGTGCACTGACTGGTAGGCATGTGTATCTGCAGGAATTTTTTTCCAGGGAAGGCAAATCCTCCAAATAAACAAGCAAACCTCTGGACCCCTGCAATATGCGTACAATATTGATGGGCTTCATCTGCATTGATAATGGCCATTAAAAAAAAATGTTTACAAAGAAAAAAACCCCACTTTTTGGGGGGCGCGGGGTTTAGAAGTGATAAAATAAGACCTGAGGTTTGGGGTTTGGGTTGACAACCTCCTCCCTAATCAGAGCTATACCCAGATCTACTTGTTTTCTATGGAGCAGCAGCAGTACCAGGGAAGACTAACATAAAAACCTTAAAAATGACCCCAGAAGTTCCATCTCTAGAATTTCTTTTGCCTTCTCTTTGTCTAATTGGCTAGACCTGCTTGCTACGACCTCATTCACTGATTAAAAATACAGGCAGGCAGATGCAGGACAGTTGGTCACAAAACAAAGGAGGGAAATAGGGCCTGCCGGTTTTGTTCTCGTATATCTGGTTCTAAAAGTGCTAAAACCACCCTTTAAAAATAAAGTGAAATGTTCAAAGCTGAGAATCTGCAGTTTATGGCTCATGCCCACCGCTCTGCACTGCTACGCTGTCTTTCCAAACCTACCTTGCTGGAGACTAAACAAGGGACTGACCCTGGCCGCTGTAGCAGGTGCTCTGCCAGTGAGTTACTGCCTCAGATGCAAGAGATATATGTAGTGGTGAGACATAAATACCTAATATTATCCTACCTGTGTGCTAACAAAATTGCCCAGTATATCCAACGATGCTATTATTTGCATGGGCAAATAAACAGAGAGGAAGAACATAGGAGTGTTCTTTGTTAAATAGTTCCTGCAGCCTGCATGGCTATTTCAGATTGATCTGAACTGTTGCAATTTATTGTAAGGGATGCATTGCTGGTCTGTTACACAGGAGGAACTCTGGTCCTCTAGATGCTACTAGACTCCAACTCCCATCAGCCCCAGCCAGCATGACCAATGAACAGGGATGATGGGAGGGGTAGTCCGTCATCATCTGAAGAATCACAGGTCTGTCATCCCAGGGCTGCTCTCACAACCGCCATACTCCGTATTTACTCCACCCCATGGAAACCCAGCCATGTCTACCTTTCACTGTACGTGAAGAGGGGCTTTTGGAATGCCAAAATTTTGGCAGCACACTAAAATCTGAACCCAATGTGTAGCATCAGGTGTGTGCGACTGTCTCACTGTTCACTTGGAAGAAAACAGGCTTTTCACCCAGTACTGGTTATGAGAATAGACCCTGACGTCTGATCTCTCCAGTAAGATTTGAGAGCCACATATTGCTGTGGGGTGTCTTGTGACGGCATCAGTACTTTCAATTCTGCTTCCTCTCTTTGTATCATATTTTCACCATCCGGCAACCTATCCTATTTTTCTTTTCTCTTGTTTTCTCTTACTCTTTTTTTCCCCTGGCCCACTTCAGTCTTTACAAATTCCTTCCCCACCTTGTCTAAGAGATGACATAGGAACATAGGAAGATGCCTTAAGGTAAAGGTAAAGGACCCCTGACAGTTAAGTCCAGTCGCGAATGACTCTGGGGTTGCGGCGCTCATCTCGCTTTACTGGCCGAGGGAGCCGATGTTTGTCCGCAGACAGTTTTTCCGGGTCATGTGGCCAGCATGACTAAACTGCTTCTGGCAAAACCAGAGCAGAGCACAGAAACGCCTTCCCGCCAGAGCAGTACCTATTTATCTACTTGCACTGGCGTACTTTCAAACTGCTAGGTTGGCAGGAGCAGGGACCGAGGAACGGGAGCTCACCCCGTCGCGAGGATTCGAACCGCCGACCTTCCGATCGGCAAGCCCTAGGCTCTGTGGTTTAGACCACAGCGCCACCTGAGTCAAACCATTGGTCCATCTAGTTTGGTATTGTCTACACTGACTGGCAGCAGCTGTCCAGGAATTCAGAAGGCAGGGGCCTCTCTCAGACCTTGCTGGAGATGTCTGGGATTGAAGCTGGGGCCTCCTGCATGCGCAGCAGATTTTCTGCCACTGCTCTACAGAACCTCCCTGTTCCCAGTTCCTGTTCCCATTAACCTCTAAAGCACCTTGAGCGGTCGAACTCAGAACATAGGGAGGTGCAATTGTGAATACCTTTTCAGGATCACACAAATTCAAAACAAGGCAATACATAGTCATTTTGATATTCTCATTCTGCATCCTGGTTGAGACACACTTTTTCACCGGCTTTCATGGATACTTAGTTATTGTGTGTGTGTTGCTGTTGCAGCTTGGCTTAATTTTGTTTTTTTGAATCTTTACTTACCCACAAAGGATGTGGTTTCCTTGTTCTTTTCCTTTTCAACAGGCCTGTTAGAAGCAGCACAAAGAAAGAGGAACTAGGCAATAGACTTCCTTATTAAACCATAAGATCCTTTAAAAATTTATGCATTTATTATAAAACACTCCATTTATTGTAAAATCTTTGTTAGCGATGTACCTTTATTGTTGTTGTTGTTGTTGTTTAGTCGTTTAGTCGTGTCCGACTCTTCGTGACCCCATGGACCAGAGCACGCCAGGCACACCTGTCTTCCACTGCCTCCCGCAGTTTAGTCAAACTCATGCTGGTAGCTTCGAGAACACTGTCCAACCATCTCGTCCTCTGTCGTCCCCTTCTCCTTCTGCCCTCCGTCTTTCCCAACATCAGGGTCTTTTCCAGGGAGTCTTCTCTTCTCATGAGGTGGCCAAAGTATTGGAGCCTCAGCTTCAGGATCTGTCCTTCCAGTGAGCACTCAGGGCTGATTTCCTTAAGAATGGAGAGGTTTGATCTTCTTGCAGTCCATGGGACTCTCAAGAGTCTCCTCCAGCACCATAATTCAAAAGCATCAATTCTTCGGCGATCAGCCTTCTTTATGGTCCAGCTCTCACTTCCATACATCACTACTGGGAAAACCATAGCTTTAACCTTAAAGTACCTTTATTAGGTCAACCAAAATGCACAAGCTTACTTCAAACTCTTCATCAAGCTAGAATCTAGGTGTTAGATGGGAAACAGAGGATGGTGAGGAAATTTAAAAAAAAATATCTGGTGGTGAAGTCATGGGTCTGCCTTGGGTCAAAGTCTTAAAATGGAATGTAGAAGGAAGTAGCAGACCTTCAAACGAGGCCGTTAGGTGCTGGGCAGGTTTCATGTTGCACCAATAGCTGCTGAGCCGAAGGAACATACCAAGGTGGATTCCCCATATTTGGAAATAGAAAACCCAGCTGTTTATATAATGAAATTCTCCTGTTTACTATAAACTTATAAAATACTGTTATAGGCCACCCCAATCTCTGCTGATCAGTGCAAGATTCCAGTGGTCTTGGCACTTCACCAGAGTTAGTGTTTCCTTTGGAAAAAATGAGGCACAGCGAAGGCTATAGTGTCTTTCTGAAATATGGCTTATTTACTGTGGCGAGAGTTGCCAACATTCACATCACAAGAGAGTGCTTTGTTACTCTCCTAAAAACAGCAAGCTTGGATCTACAAGCAGCTGAATCAGCCATGCTGCCTCTGCCTCGTGGTGATAGCTTCTTCCCCTTGGCCCCCATATGGCATTTCCATACCTCCTCCTCCTTCTTCCTTTTCTTTTCTAGCTTTCTTTTCCTAAAAGCAAAGGAAGGGTGAGTACCACCCTTATAGTTCAACCATTGGTGTTAGCCTCCTGCATATCACCCCCCTTTTATTGATAAGATCTAGTGTAATGACTCTTGAGAGTCCCATGGACTGCAAGAAGAACAAACC